TTGAATGCAAGGGAAGTGACGAGTATACCAGGGTACTAATTAAATACATAATTTATTGGAAAATATAAGATTTATTGCAACTTTGATTATATTATACATTAAATATCTTAAAATCAAATAATACCACACATCAGTGGCGGCTGGTGGATTTTGGGTATACCGATATCTCAATTATTAGATATGGGACCCACACCAAATTTATTTGAGTTTATAATGACATTAAATAAACAAGTTCTGCGCATAACACATGACGACACGGTACTGATGAATGGGATACAAATTTGAGATTATAATTCGGAATTAAGTATTTTACTGATATTTTTTATTAATGTATGCTACTTATCAACAAATCACATATAGCCTTATATAAATTACAATGAAATATATATACGTAAGAAAATAACTACTCACCACAGTACTGAAATTTTGACTGGAACTATACGTGCATTCACCACAACTTCGCCGCTTGCATTGTTTTCAAGATGACTGTCGTGCAAATGGCGGGCTCTGTAGGCAGTAGCGTAACTAGGGGGGGCGGGGGGTGCGGTCCGCCCCGGGCGGCACTTCTTGGGGCGGCAAAAATCGTGAGAGAAAATGCGAAAAAAACTGAAAGACAGAATATAAAAATAAAAAAAATATTTGATAATTAAATATTCTCTTTCGAAATAATATAATTCAAATTCCAATAGATTTGAGATTTATACAATTAGGTACTCCCAAAATATTCCAAATCAAATAAAGCTAGCAAAAAATAGTTGTTTTTCTTTACCTAGGTCTAAGAATTTTTGTTTGTTTTTAATTCTTAAAATATTTACAATTACCCATTCGAACCGCCAATGTTTTCTACAGAAAAAAGGTACTCTTGGTCATAAGCTCTACAGTTGACCGTTTTCGAGAAAAATCAACTTTTATGTTTAAAAACATGGTCAATTTTTTGAAAAAAAATTTTATTACTAATTAAACAAAATTTATTTTAACGTTAGAAAAAGTAACAAAACCAAACGATAATTGCAAAATTAAAAAAAAAATTAAAAATGATTTTTTACTCAAATGCTGAAATGTGCGAAATGCGTTACCTTTACGGTTTGGAGAATTAAGCAAAGACAACTTTTAAATCATTTCTTATTTTGCAATTATGGTTTGGTTTTGTTACTTGTCCTAACGTTAAAATAAATTTTGTTTAATTAGTAAAAAAAAATATTTTTAAATTGACCATGTTTTTAAACATAAAAGTTGATTTTTCTCGAAAACGGTCAACTTTAGAGCTTATGACCAGGAGTACCTTTTTTGTGTAGAAAACATTCGAATGGGCGTCTCAAAACTGTACTTTTTTCAGGAGCGTAGAAGTTGAGGAGAAAAACACCCGCTACCCCTTCAAAATCTCCACCAATTATGAGGAAAACAATTTTTTTCTAGCACAAAACATAGCTTATTTTGAGTAGAAAATGCTTACAAAAGCTGTTTTTTGTACGATAAACGGTTCCGGAGATATTCGAAAAAAACGAATTTTTTTCTAAAATTTCAACACCCTGTATCTCGAAAATTGTGCATTTTATAGCGTAACTTAATAGCGACTTTTTTCATCTTTTTGGATGAGCTATCACATCCTAAAGTCCTGCGCATATATTATGAAACACCCTGTATATATTTATACATTTTTAATTTTGCGTACGGTCCTCAAAACTGACTCCTAACCTAACTTCTCTTCCCCCCCCAAAAAAAAACATGAGGGCGACAGCCACAGTGACTGCTGCCCCGGGCGGCACTTTTTCTAGTTACGCCGCTGTCTGTAGGTAATTTTTTACCAACACTTAAGTTAAAACGAGGAATTGACGTTTAAACTTCAATATTTCGCTGGAATTTTGAATTTTAACTGGACACAGAACTGACGGGTAAAAGTGAGTACCAAGATTATCAATTTTTTAAAAATTGATATTATTCGAATGATAAAATATGAAAAATACATTATTTAATGTTTTATAGTTTGTAGTGAAATTGAAAAATTTAAGATAAATTGAATATATTTTAAAATAAAATCAATTAAATATTTGATTCTGGAGTTGTGACACGCCAAGGTACTGATGTTTTGAATATTTAATATGTTTTTCTACAAACGAGCTTTTGAAAAAATACATTAAAATTGGGTGGACAAGTTAAAAAAACCTGGATCTTTTGTAATATACTAAAATATTTACAAAAAATACTTTTATAACGTCATGAATCGCGTAACGGGCGCGACCTCAGAAAATCGGCAAATGCTCCAAAATGCCTTCTAAAGTTGATACTGTAAAATTTTGAATGAAAGCATATAGTACTAATTTTTTGTGTAAAACTTAAATAGTAAAAGCACGTATTTTAAATGCACAAATATTGTATACTTTATTTTCTAAAATGTTCTCAAAATGTAACGGGTGCGACATTTGAACATTTTATCTTTATGTTAGCTTCTTACCATTCGCAATGTACGAATATTTTAAGGTAATAAATTACTTCGCAATTAAACTATTTGACTTCAGATATAGTTTTTATTTTGTTAAATAACAGATGATTGGTTTTTTTGTCAAGGTGGGGTAAGGTTTCGTGGAAATACCCAATGGCAGAAATATGCCAAATAAATAATAACAAAAAATCAAAACATAAATTTGATAATATTATTCATCAATAAAACTTAAATTAAATTTTCATCAAAATATGTTGTTGGTATTTCTATGAGCATTCAAATTCCATAGATTGTGTGTTGAATAATATTTAATCTATTTGTTTTAATCTAGGTTTTAATTAATTATGTATAAATTTCTATAAATATTAAATAAAGCTAAATCTTAATTGAAATAACCTTAACAGGAAATTTAGTTATTAATAATTCAATTAAATTAAATGTTTAATCTAAATCCGAGTCTAAATCATTTTTAGATAATAATAATAAGTATTTTAAGGTAAAAAAAGTATGTATGCAACTCGTTTATAAACTTTTCTAGACACTATTTATTTAAAATTAGTGTCTAGAAAATTAAAATTAAAATTCATGACTAAAATGGCGTGTATCAAACTTGATCCATAATATAATATTAATATATTATAATAGTATTAATAATGTACGAGTGCTATAAAAGGTCCGATGCTATTTTATCTATTTTGCAAAAATTCTATACAAAAAATTAATTTTATACCCTAAAAATTTAATTTGGTCGATTTTACTTTAGATAGTTGGTATCACAGTCATTGGTTTGACAGTTTATGTCAAAATCGATTCGCCATGCCGTCCTTAATTTACTTATTTACAATAAGCGGCTGTTAATGTTAAAAAAGAAAAAAGATTTTCTTTGGTGTCAAACCAAATTTATTGCCAGAAAAGTCTCGTAAGTACTAGAAAAATCATAAAAATATTATAACCAATATGCAAAATATTATGCTGTTTAAAGTATTGCCAACCTATGGGATAAAGTATCTCATTACAGCACCGAAAGTGGTGTTATAATGAAGTCATTATGAACGCAAAATAGATAAATACCATTTATACAAGAATAATCCAATACCTACTTTAAAGATATAAATGTTTCTTAATTTATTAAATAATTTGAACCAATTTTCATATGAAACTAAACAAGCGTAATTTATTAATATTCGTTGCTAACATCAATTATAAATTAATTAAAAGGTAAATTGTAATAAATTGTCTTGTTTTTCTATCTGCTTGGTCGAGCACTGGATATTTTTATTATCAATGGACTCGACATAATTTATTGTTAATCGTGATCTAGCCAGCTATTAAATCAATTAAATCGCCAATTGGCTGTCAGAAAACACGCAAGTAAAAAATATATTTTCTATCGCCTAAATATGTGTTCTTTTCTTTAATCATGTTAGTTTTAACCCTTCTTGGTAAACAATGCAATTATAATAGTTATATATTTTATGTATTTATTAAATTATTAATTAAATTTTGAGGCCTGTCCTGGCTATTGCTAAAAATTTCTGGTGATGCATTAAAATGTAAGTAGGTGACTTGGGCACATATTTATATATATATATATATATATATATATACAAATTTATCTATTAAAATGGTCTCCTGTGAATCATATATTATCATATTTTTCATTTAATGTATCTTAACTCGAAATAAAAAAACCTAATGATAAATTTAAGATAAAGTCCCTTTATAGCGTAACAAAAAAAAGGTTACATCGGTTGGGTTGGTAATGCGATACAGGAAGCGCGCTGGTCGAATAACAAATATTTTCAGACGATGCAACCGCTTTGAAAAATAAAGAAAAAACAAATACGGGATTCGTTATATTAATGTCATCTCAATTTATTGCCATCCGTGGAAAATAAACTTCTTTGGATATTTAGGCTTTGTTTCTATTTTTGCCATGTTGGTAATGCACATGAATTGCCTTTTTTTTTAAGAAACTAAACCTTTTATGATGCACAATTTATTTTATTTGTTCTGCCCACTTCATTGTCAAGTCGGATTTATTTAATTTATTCAGTTGACAAGTAAATTTTAAGATTACATCTTCAATATGCAATTAAAGACAGGAACTGCTTAATAATAACATCCAGATGTTACTTTAGTGCTTAAAAGGGTGGAAAAAAAGTTTTTTTCACTCGCGTTGATATTACTCATGTAATGTTTTCTCATCGTTGTGATCTCATCTTTGATTGACCTTTCACTACTAAAAAATTAAAAGAATTTATTAACATTATTTTATATTTTTTTAATCGTCTACTACGCGCTTCAAATTTAATTCGCATATTTTTAACATTATTGATGGTTTTAAACCTTGAATTTTTACGATATATGTCACTACCGTAATTGCTGTAAACATTAAAGTAATAAAAATAAATGTTGATAAACTTGTACCAATTAAATGTAGACTAATTACCGTTTTTATAAATTAAAGTATCTTTGTTTTTATTATTTTTATTACTTACGGCAACTTTATAGAAAATATGTAGGTTTATTAGTAAATTATTATTTCGATTTGTTTCAGGAAATGGTTCAAGCTAAGGATCCACCTTCCTATTACCTGAATAAATTAAAGACATATTTGGACCCAAAAGCCTCCAGAAGTCATAGGGTGAGTACATAAGTAATTAAAAACAAAATTGCAAAAATTTTGAAAAATTTGAAATATTGTAAATGTAAATGTAAATTAACCCACTGTGCAAATATTTTACTGTACTTTTTAATTTTGTACCACTGTGCGCATGTGTCCTAACATTTTTTTATTTTATGCATAAAAGGGCAGTTTTCAATTACCCGGTTTTGAAACTGGTTGTCACTGACCTATCCTATACATATCATCATTGTTTTTACCTCTAAAAACAATGATATAAAACAGTTTATTATCTCAATACAAAAATACAAAAGTATTAAATAGTTTCTCAACCCCAATATTTGAAAAGTTTATATGAACATTGTACTGACCTTTTAATTTCGCCGGCAGTAAACTATAACTTAAATTCGGCCACGGACTCTACTGTAAAGTCCTCATAAAACATTTTCTTTACTATCACTGTGACAAACTGTCAATTTTCAAGAAATACATTTCGATTTATAACCTTTATAATCTGTGTTTATAAAATAAAAAAAATTGACATTTGACGGTGACACACAGATTCCCCTATTGTTTCATAGATGGTGCTCTATACAAATTTTTGATTTAAATCATTTTAAGTTAATAATAGATATTTGTCGTAAAAAAGTATAGTATGGACCTCGTTTATCAACTTTTCTATACACTCATTAATTTAAGCACTCGCTCGCAAGCTCGCTCGTGTCTAAATTAAATTCGTGTATAAAATGGCGTTTATCAAACTTGATACATAATATACTATTAGTGTACCAGATCTTCACTATTGCAAATATAATAAAGGAAAAACTTTAAAGGATGACAACTTATTTAATGACACCCTGTACATATCTTAAAAAACAAATTTTGCAGTTTGACAACGATTTGTCCAATCACCCCATCCTCAAATACCTACTAATAAAAATAATAATATACCATAAAACCACCCCTAAAAACTAACTCTTGAAAATGATCATAAAGCTTCGTGTCACTGTTTTGTCACCCTCGTGCTTTAATAATGGCAGAGAGGTGTCAATGGGGATTATTTGCAAATATGCTCCACGGGGTGTCACAAATTTATATTTAAACCCTAGACACGCGTACCTAATTTTCTAGATGCGTATATAAACGTTTAGATGCTACCCCCTTTTTTCGCTTAATTTAATAATTATAATTGAAAAGCAAGAATAATCGTGTGAATACAAGAAATTTTTACCCGGCCTATGGTTTTTTGTATAATTACTATTTTCTTTCTATTTAACGACTGCTGGGGTCAAAATAGGTATTACTCAGTGTCTTTTTACCCTGGTTTATAAATATCTATTTTTTTACTACAATGCCTGACTAAACATATCCTGTTTTTATTTATGAAACCCCCAATTTGTATCTATTTACAAACCGCATTTTTTCGTAGACAAAAAGTCATTATTTATAGCCTACCCTACAAATTATTTGACTCTAAGGACCCTTCAAAAATTCCCAACCCATCCTTTTGTTCGTATTGACATGGGGACCCGACATAAAATATATTACATTATATGGGATACATCAGCTGAAATTTATTAGGTTTATATAAAAACAACAATATAAACTTTTTTTGATTAAATGTTGTTTGTTGAAAAAATAATTTTAGAAGGCGTAAAATATTTAATACATACATTTTGTTTCGAAAGTACTCCTGGATCACCCTGTATAATTCGGATCAGTTAACATGGAGTGTGTAAATTGAGAATAATAGAAACATCTGCATGCAAGAACATATGCATGTAGGTTTTGAATGTTAGCGCTGTTTGGTTAAGTGTATTAAACTTGAATTAATAGAATAATATAGAGGACTTTGTGTGCGATTTAAAATATAATAGCAACGATTAAATAATTTTTTAATGTTAAATTTTATTGGTTTAAAAATTTTAGGTATATATTACTATCATGTATTGAAAGATAAAGTTTACTAACTAATAGTATTAAACAATATTGTTCCCAATCAATTTTTGCAAAAATTAATAACTATCATTTTTTATTTAAAATAATTTCTTAAGTATTATTTATTTGGGCAGAATTTTGTAATCTTAATTAAATATTTTTAAAATTATTGGTAAAGTTAAATTTTTTAGTATATAAAATAGTATCGAGATATTTAAAATAAAAACACATATGATTCTACAAAAGTTTGACAACTTTTGACCTTATTTTGTTTATATAGTTTTCGAAGAAAATTAAACAGTATTTTGTTATGAGAACATAAATATACTGTTCCATACCGGACCAGTCACTTTTTCAAACAGTTTCTGAAATATCTGTGTTTTCTAAATTAGAATGCAAGGGAAGTGACGAGTATACCAGGGTACTAATTAAATAAATAATTTATTGGAAAATATAAGATTTATTGCAACTTTGAGCATATTATACATTAAATATCTTAAATTCAAATATTACCACACATCAGTGGCGGCTGGTGGATTTTGGGTATACCGATATCTCAATTATTAGATATGGGACCCACACCAAATTTATATGTTTATAATGACATTAAATAAACAAGTTCTGCGCAAGCAGAATTTAAATTGAAGTTTGCGAAAAAAAGATAACCGAAACATCGAACATGGAACTGACGACACGGTACTGATGAATGGGATACAAATTTGAGATTATAATTCGGAATTAAGTATTTTACTGATATTTTTTATTAGTGGATGCTACTCATCAACAAATCACATAGCCTTATATACGTAAGAAAATAACTACTCACCACAGTACTGAAATTTTGACTGGAACTATACGTGCATTCACCACAACTTCGCTGCTTGCATTGTTTTCAAGATGATTGTCGTGCAAAGGGCGGGCTCTGTAGGTAATTTTTTAACAATTGCTATTATTCGAATCTATGATAAAATATGAAAAATACTATATTTAATGTTTTATAGTTTGTAGTGAAATTGAAGAATTTAAGATAAATTGAATATATTTTAAAATAAAATCACTCAAATATTTGATTCAGGAGTTGTGACACGCCAAGGTACTGATGTTTTGAATATTTATTATGTTTTTCTACAAACGTGCTTTTGAAAAAATACATTAAAATTGGGTGGACAAGTTAAAAAAACCTGGATCTTTTGTAATATACTAAAATATTTACAAAAAATATTAAAATACCTACTCTATTGACTGATGACACCAAGTTGTCCAAATTTTGTAGAATCACCCATATAAATATTTTTTACCAAAATAGTTTAAAAAATTAAATTTAAATTTAAATGCTTGTCATAGTTTTTTAAATTTGTTGTTCAAGTTTTTAATATCGATTTAAAAATGTGTTGTAAAGATCAAACTATATTGTTACTATTAAAAATACAAATAAACATTTTATTATTTCCGTACTAGTTTTATCACCCATTTTATTGAGGGTTGTTTTGACAGATGGTCCACAATTTCGAAGAATCCTTTTATATTTATTTTCCATTACCTACATACTAACATTTTCAAAACAAAATTTCCTTTGGTAGAAAAATAAATAGGGAGGTCAATTTTAAAGATAAAAAATTACCAAGTTTATTAAAAAATAACATGTGCAAAATAACACAGTTTTACAAATAGTAAAATATGATAATTAAAGAATGTAATGTAATTTTATTAACCTAGGTTTTATATTACAGAAAAGAAAAATGGTGGTGGATTCCACATCGACCCAGGTACTAAGAGATCTAGAAATCTCCCTACGCACAAATCATATAGAGTAAGTGCCGCATGGTTCCTACCTTGGCCCTACATAATTCAATATTAGTGCTTTTCACATTGTAATTTGTGACTTTTAGGTGGGTGAGGGAGTTTTTAAACGAAGATAATCAAGGTCTGGACGTTTTGATTGATTACCTCAGCTTTCGTTTAGGTATGATGAGGCATGAGCAAAGGATAGCTGAATCTAGGAGTACCTCTGAGGAAAAGTTGAACCCAAACGCTCATAGCACTTTGAACAGCTCCAATTTGAGTTCGCCTGACAAAACTAATGGGTAAGACGATTTTTCTTATTTAGATTACAAATCGCTTATGCTCATTGGCCACGGTGCACCGCGGTGCTGTTCTGAGAGGTGATTTTTGGACTTTCTGTGAAACCTAATTTTTTTTTTTATATTCTTGTTAACTAGGTCATAACTAAAATTTTAAGAGCAAAATAAAAAAATTTGACGGTTAATTTTGTTTTAATTGGATGTTTATTAAAAATATGTATGCACACTTTCAATTCTCCAATTAAAACTTGCGATTTTATTTAAATATTATCATAACTTTTTAAATCAGATTAAAGATTAGTTAATTTCCTTAAAAAAGGTCTATACATTTTTTATATCTTTTACTGTTTTGTTGTAATACACGTTTAAAGTTTTAATTTAAGGTTAAATGTATAGTATACATTTATTAAACAATAATTCTAAGGGTGCCACATTTTATTTATGGCCGATTTATTCAATTTTGATTTATTGTACGAATAATTTCTTTGGATACTAGATATTGCCAAGACATGAAAGTTATCGGCCCGATAAACTTTACTAAAGATGAATAAACCGGTCCTTAGTTAAATTTCATGAATTTCTTCGTAACTTTTACTACAATTTTTCATTTTTGTTTATAAAAAACACTCTAAAAAACTAAACAAAAGTTATAGAATACGTATACTGAAAATGACAATTCAAACATCAAATAAATTTTTAATAGATCTAAGTTTCATGGCAACCTTTAAGGATATATTAATTAAAGGAACATAAATGTATACGTCAAAGGTTAGATTAAAAGTTTGAACATTTATTGCAACAAAACAGTAAAATATATAAAAAAAATTGTAAAAACCTTTTTTTTTTAGTTATGCAAATATTAAATATTTAAATTAAATCGCTAGTTTTAATTGGATAATTGAAAGAGTGCATAATATTTTTAATAAACAGCCAATTAAAACAATTCAAACCGTCAAATTTTTTTTATTTTGCTCTTAAAATTTTAGTTATGACCTAATTAACAAGAATATAAAAAAAATTAGGTTTCACAGAAAGTCCAAAAATCACCTCTCAGAACAGCACCGTGTGGCGGCTTTAAAAGTTAAATAACTCCTCCAATCTTGCGAGTTCGTTAAAATGGTAAAGAAAAATTCGCCTTGAAATGTTAAGGGAACACTTTTGGGACAAAATTTTCATTTTAGATACATTCGGACACCTCTGGAAATACCGGACAGTCCGAGCATAAGAAGAAGATCCAAACATGTGGCAAAACTGAACATGGGAGAATCGAAAGATGACATACACGTTTGCATAATGTGCATGAGGGCCATAATGAACAACAAATATGGCTTCAACATGGTGATACAACATAGAGAGGCTATTAACTGCATTTCTCTGAGTTTAATACACAAAAGCTTGCGCACCAAGGCTTTGGTTCTGGAGTTGTTGGCGGCCATATGCCTGGTGAAAGGCGGGCACGAGATAATTTTGTCCGCTTTCGATAACTTCAAAGTTATTTGTAACGAGGTGCATCGATTTCAGACTTTGATGGATTATTTTTTGAACTTCGAAGCTTTCCATATAGAGTTTATGGTGGCTTGTATGCAGTTTGTGAACATTATCGTTCATTCCGTGGAAGATATGAACTTTAGGGTCCATTTGCAGTACGAATTTACCGCGCTCGGTTTGGATAGTTATTTGGAAAAGTTAAGGTTCACGGAAAGCGAGGAGTTGCAGGTTCAAATCTCCGCTTACTTGGACAACGTTTTCGACGTTGCCGCTCTTATGGAGGACAGCGAAACCAAAACGGCAGCGTTGGAGAAGGTCGGGGAGCTGGAAGACGATTTAGCACAGGTAAGTTTTGATCAACAAGTGGATAAGACTTATCTAAAAGGTAGAGATGCGACTTGAAAAAAAAAGTCCGTTTTTTTTGTTTTTTTTCAAATGGTTTTTTTCACATTTTAGGTTTTTTTTTCAAGATTAGTCCTATTTGCCTAATTTTTTAGGTTTCATGGACTAAAATTAGCCACCAAATGACAATTAGTAAATGTAAATACAGTCTCGCGCTATGCACGCGCCACCACCACCGAATTGACCAATAAGGGCCGCGCTTGTTTTGATTTCGTCCTTTAAAATAGTAACTACATATAATATTTTTGATTCAGCGCTTGATTTTTTAAAAAGCTACCAAAAGCACTTTTTTCATGATTTTTCTAATTCACGTAGAGTATGAAATTTTTTCTTCAAAAAAACAATAGCAAATTCTTATAGAATTTATTGGTGGTTAAGTCAGAACATTCCGTGGACCAGAAAGCCAAAAAAAAAATTTTTTTATTACGGTATTTGTTAGGCTTGAGCGTTACACATTTTTCATCTAAAAATCTCAAAACTAGAAACTTCAAGCTTTAAATTGTTTTTTTACTGCTCCAATACAACCATTTTTAACAAAGATACATCCGAAGAATCGCAAAACAATTTTTTGTATTGGTGTAGAAGTTTTACATTGCTACTGGTTTCTAATGTGGAAACTACCCAATAATAAGAAATCAGATTTTTTAGTCTCGGTCAAAATTTTCAATAATGAAAAATTTAATATATTATACATTTCACTTTATTATTACCTAATATATATTTTACTCAAAATTTCATTTTAAAAAAAAAAACAAAAAAAAAACGGTTTAACTAGGTTTTTTTCATGTTTTTTTCACATCTGAAAAAAAAAACGTTTTTTTACATCTCTACTAAAAGGAACCAAGCGGCAAAACCTTTTCCTGGTCTGGTAAAATAATTTGTAAAATTACTCATTTTAAATAATGCTCAAAAGGTACAACCCGATTTTCCTCCCATGAAAAATTTTAACAGATTTTAATAATAAAGGTTAAAAAAACGTACCCATGTCTCAGCGTTTCACGAAATCACGTCATTTATTTTTTTTACATAGCCATTCATATTATTTTAACCTAAACAGATTTTTAATTCTCTATTTTGTAATAAATCATTTTTTGTTCTTCAAATATTTTATGTTTTTACATAATACAAAAATTATATATAAAATAACTATTTTATTTTTTTTAAGTAAAAAAAATAATTCTGGTTTTAATTTTTGTTTATTTTTTTTTAAATAAAACAACAGATTTGTATTTATCTTATATTAAATATATGTTGGAAACAAATCTTGATCTTTTAGTTTGACGATTATACATTGCTTTCGAATCTATAGTGGTATCACAACCTAAAAACACCACTTGATATACAGGGTTTCACATTCGTGTTCCATTGGAAGTTTCTGGAGAAAGGAAAAAATATAGATTTGAAATTTAAAAGCGTTTATAACCCATTAAGTTTATTTTTTTAATATTTTGAACAAAATGCAACTTCTGGTTTGACCGGAAGTGACATCAACTTTTTTATTTCAAATAGAACACCCCATATATTTTTACATTTTTAAATTCTACAAAAGATTCTGAGAAAAATGTCCTATACCTAAAGTGAATAGTTTTCTAGATGTTTGCTATTAGGTTTACGGATATGGGGGTAAAATAATTGGAATCTTAAAACATTGTTTAAAAAATTCCATGTCAATTCTTTAACATTTTTCAACAAATTACCCGAGAAACCCCAGGGCAAATGGGGCTAACTTGAAAGGTTAATAACTTTTTTATTTTAAATGCAACACCCGGTATGTTAAGAAATTGACTTGGAATCATTTAAACAATGTTTTAAGATTCCAAAAATTCCACCCCCATTTCTGCAAACCTAATAGCAAGAAAGTTATGGGCTATTTTTGATTCCCGCGCATTTGTAATATTTTAACAGAAAAAATTAATAACTCCAAAACTATTTACTCTAGGTATGTAGTAATTTTACTCAAAATTTTATGTAGAATTTAAAAATGTAAAAATATATGGGGTGTTCCTTTTAAAATAACAAAGTTGATGTCACTTCTGGTCAAGCCGGAAATGGCAATATTTTAGAAAAATAGTCTTGGATTATAAACGCTTTAAAAATTTCAAATCGATATCTTTTGCCGTTCCTCAGAAACTCTCAATGGACCACGAACGTGAAACACCCGTATTTCGTAAATGTGCAACACCCAGTATATAATTAAAATAATTTTAAAATAAATAAATAATCTTAATGGTTGTCCATTTATTCAGTGAATAAATATTTCATAAAAATATACTGTTTAGCTGTTATCGAATCTGTTATATTATGTTCCGAATACCGTGGATAACATTATATTGGATCGCACTTAAAAAGACACGGGTATCATTTTTTTAAGTCTATTTTCAAAATCTATAGAAATTTTTCATGGGAGGGAAAAAAATCAAATTTTGTCGTACTGTGTTATCATTTGGTGCTTGGTTCCTTTTCGATAAACGCTACACGGTGCTGTTCTGAGAGGTGATTTTTGGACTTTCTGTGAAACCTAATTTTGTTTTATATTCTTGTTAATTAGGTCATAACTAAAATTTTAAGAGCAAAATAAAAAAAATTTGACGGTTAATTTTGTTTTAATTGGATGTTTATTAAAAATATGTATGCACACTTTCAATTCTCCAATTAAAACTTGCGATTTTATTTAAATATTATCATAACTTTTTAAATCAGATTAAAGATAAGTTAATTTCCTAAAAAAGGTCTATACATTTTTTATATCATTTACTGTTTTGTTGTAATACACGTTTAAAGTTTTAATTTAAGGTTAAATGTATAGTATACATTTATTAAACAATATTTTTAAGGGTGCCACATTTTATTTAGGGCCGATTTATTCATTTTTGATTTATTTGACGAATAATTTCTTTGGATACTAGATATTGCCAAGACATGAAAGTTATCGGCCCGATAAACTTTACTAAAGATGAATAAACCAGTCCTTAGTTAAATTTCATGAATTTCTTCGTAACTTTTACTACAATTTTTCATTTTTGTTTATAAAAAAAACTTTAAAAAACTAAACAAAAATTATAGAATACGTATACTGAAAATGACAATTCAAACATCAAATAAATTTTTAATAGATCTAAGTTTCATGGCAACCTTTAAGGATATATTAATTAAGGGAACATAAATGTATACGTCAAAGGTTAGATTAAAAGTTTGAACGTTTATTGCAACAAAACAGTAAAATATATAAAAAAAATTGTAAAAACCTTTTTTAGTTATGCAAATATTAAATATTTAAATTAAATCGCTAGTTTTAATTGGATAATTGAAAGAGTGCATGATATTTTTAATAAACAGCCAATTAAAACAATTCAAACCGTCAAAATTTTTTTATTTTGCTCTTGAAATTTTAGTTAAGACCTAATTAACAAGAATATAAAAAAATTGGTTTCACAGAAAGTCCAAAAATCACCTCTCAGAACAGCACCGTGTATCCAAATTCTAATTACAAAAAATAATCTATTTTTCTGATTTCAGATGCACGAGCGTCTTCAGCAAGTGGAGCACCAAGCTCTGGAGCAAATCGCGACGTTGCAAACGGAGTTGATCAGGGTTTCGAAAGAGAGAGATGACATTATGGAGGTGAAGAAGAAGACCGACGAGGAGGTGACAACGTTGCGAAGGGTGGTGCAACACCACGAGCAGGAATCGAAGAACCGACAGTCGATGTTCGAGTCGAAGATAGCCGAGCTGGAGCACGAAAAGAGTTTGCCTAGAGGAAGTTCACGTAAGTACAATTTTTTTCGTATTTTATATATTTTATAATTGTTCTTTTACTCTGGAAAAAATAATAAGAATATTTGAATTTTTAATACTAGTTTTATAAAAACATGCAAAAAGTATAGTAATTGGACATTTATATAGTAATTGGACACATGGACCATAGTTATTGGACATACAATTTTTATATAAACATAACCACTTTACATCAAATAACATAAATTGTTAAATATTTTTTAAAGATAAATTGCTGTTTTAGGTATTTTTTTTTATTTAAATATCATTAAGTGTGGTATATCTAGTTTGTGAAGCATAATGTTTAGGTCGGAACAGGATGATTTATATATATCTAATATTTTTTCGGGTGGTATGTTAAAAGTATTTTCCGAATTTAATAATTTTGTTGAAATTAGTTGTTTGTGTTCTCTATCATGCACTGTATTTAAATCACTGTTATTCTGCAAGATGTCCTGTGACGAAGAAATCACTATATTACTTACTCTTTAAAAATGAATTAGTCAAAAATGTCATAGCGAAAAAGCAGCCACTAATAATTCTCGTCAACAGCAATTTGTATCCAGGACATTTAGCAGTCAATTCCTATGAAATATTATTCGCTGAATCCGAAAATGTCGGCAAAAGTTATAAAAGTAACAGTTTTTGAAATATAATCAATTTTATATATAATATGGAACTGACTTTATTTCAAAATCTGCTTAACTTTTATTTAGAAATATTTTTATTGTAATTTAAACACAGCCCTGCTCTTAAGAAAAAAACAAAAATCTTACCACCAAAGGAACTTGCGAACTTTTTTGTCCTATATTGGACCCAAAATAAAGTAGTTCTATATTATTACTGACTGAGATAGTTATAATTGTATACAGCGTCATCTAATGATTTGACTTTAAGGTAACTATTTATAGAACTCTTGTTTTTACAGTATTAATGTTAATTGTCCGATAATTGTCTACTTTACCCTGTATAAACTTATTGCACACTTTCATTTAAAAATATAGATTATAATATTCAAATTTTTTTTATCATAATTTCATCATGTGGGAGTTGGACTCAAAATAATTAAATCATTAAAACCAACATTAATTAGGTCTATAAAAAGGATGTTCAATAAGTGTGAAGGTTACTCATATTGATGAATCATATCCCAATGTGCAAAAATTAAATCATCTATAATTTTATATTAATAAACAAAACAAATTTTATACACACTGTCATATAATAATATTCAAAACAATGTTCATATTTATTTATGTTACATTTTTAGGTAACGTTTTTTCTTATTTTTCTTGACAAATCTTTCTGCTTAGTTCAAGGCATCTCAGACCTACTAAAATCCACCACCACCGCTCCAACCCCTCAAATCAACACGGTGTCATCGTCATCAGTAACTCCACCCCCACCACCTGCCCCAGTGGCGCCCCCGCCGCCACCTTGTCCGCCCCCGCCACCCCTCAGAGGAGTATCGAGTAGCGCCCCCATTCCTCCGCCGCCCGCCGGGCTGATGCAAGCGCCCGAAGGCGCCATGACCATCAAAAGAAAGGTCCAGACCAAGCATAAGTTGCCAACCATCAACTGGATAGCTCTAAAACCAAACCAGGTATACACTCACGTGCAAAATAATCGATCCACACAAATTTTCGATGAATTTCAATCGCAAATAACTTTTTTATTTGATGTCGGATTTAAACGAATATTAAAGAATATTGTAGATAAATTAATGGACAATCGCTCACATTTAAAAAAAATACTAAAAAATAGACGTACGTTTATAATATACAGGTTTAAACAAAAAGATGTTTTTTACCATAAGTTTAAGACACTCTGTAGAGTGTCAAAACCGTATATTGTTCTAAATTAAGTTTTATTTATCAAGTCACATCTATTCTTAACAGTTTTGTTTTTGGTTCACCTCGATATATTTATTTTTGTGGAAAATATGGATTTTTAAAAAAAACATGCAATTTCCAATATTTTTCTGTATGAAGAACTAAGGTTGCTATGGTCCATCCATAGGCTATGGAGAATGACAGTGACAGTTTTGTTGAATCATCCCATACTTGGACATGTCATACACGGCTTTCAAAAGCTATCAAATTGTTTTTTGCAAATTAATGTTTAAATTTTGAGGTGTCTTCTTACTTTATAAAATGAATATGTCTCCGACTGATGTTGCCAGAGCTATTAATTTAATCCAGGATGGACGGTCGCAGTATTACGTGGCAAGTGTTTTAAACGTCACAAGAAGTAAAGTACAAAGGGCAACATCAGTCGGAGACATTTTTAAAAGTAAGAAAACACCTCAAAATTAACACATTAATTTACAAAAAACAATTTGATAGCTTTTGAAAGCTGTATATGACATGTCAAGGTATGGGATGATTCAACAAAACTGTCACTGTCATCCTCCGTAGGCTATGGATGGACCATAGCAACCTTAGTTCTTCATACAGAAAAATATTGGAAATTACAATGTTTTTAAAAAAAATCCACATTTTCCACAAAAAGAAATATATCGAGGTGAACCAAAAACAAAACTGTTAAGAATAGATGTGACTTGATAAATAAAACTTAATTTAGAACAATATACGATTTTGCCACTCTACAGAGTGTCTTAAACTTATGGTAAAAAAATATTTTTGTTTAAACCTGTATATTATAAACGTACGTCTATTTTTTAGTATTTTTTTAAAATGTGAGCGATTGTCCATTAATTTATCTACAATATTCTTTAATATTCGTTTAAATCCGACATCAAATAAAAAAGTTATTTGCGATTGAAATTCATCGAAAATTTCTGTGGATCGATTATTTTGCACGTGAGTGTATTTGCATTTTTAACATTATAATAATCACAAATCATTATAACGCGATTATTTTTTATTCTTCCCCAGGTCAGAGGTACCATTTTCAACGAGCTAGATGATGACAAACTCCACAGTAGCATAGATTTCAACGATTTCGAAGAAAGATTCAAAATAGGTACTGGTCTTCTAGCCAATGGTGTATGTGAACCAGATGGTCTTTCTTCTTTCCCCAGCAAACGGTTTAAAAAACCTGAAAACGTCTCTCTACTTGAACACACCAGATTAAGGAACATTGGTAAGAAAAAAACACCAAAAATTATTTGTGATATCAGAAATTCTAATTTTTTTTTCTTGTAGCCATTTCCAGGAGAAAGTTGGAAATGACTCCAGACAAAGTTATAAACGCCATAAATATGTTGGATCTGAAACAGTTAAGTCTCGAAAACGTCGAATTACTAATGAGAATGGTACCAACTGAGCAAGAAAATAAGTTGTACAAAGAATACGTTCAAGAGAAAAAGAATATCAACTTACTAACAGAAGAGGATAAGTTCCTTCTGCAACTCACCAAAGTTGATAGAATATCAGCCAAACTCTCCATCATGAATTACATAGCAAACTTCTACGACAATATACATCTTATAACGCCTGTAAGTCAACACATTTATAGGTATTGTTAAAAATATTTAACCCCCTTTTTTTTTAGCAAATTCATGCAATAATCTCCGGCTCAAACTCGGTCAAGAACTCCAGGAAACTGCGTTCAGTCCTTGAAATAATTTTGGCTTTTGGAAACTACCTCAACAGTAGCAAACGAGGTCCAGCCTACGGTTTTAAGCTTCAATCATTGGACACTCTATTGGACACCAAGTCCAACGACAAGCGTACGTGTTTACTGCACTACATTGTGGCCACCATTCGACAAAAGTTCCCAGATCTGCTCAATTTCGAATCTGAATTAAATTACATAGAGAAAGCAGCCTTAGGTGAGTACACGAGTCGTCTCTTCCCACTGTAGATATTTTATTTGCTGTCCGATTTTAGTTTGGTTTTGTTTTATCAAATTTAGATATATCGGGCTTTAATTTAATGCAAAGATTATTAAAATCGCATCAAAATTAAGAATTTTATTTAAGGTTTTAATTTTTTGTTTGTAAACATTATTCTGGCTGGCATATGAGTGTACTCTCCCCACTGTAGAAAAACAGTTTGTTTTCGGATTAAATTGTTTAATATTATTTTTCTCGATTTTTATGTAAGAATGTCATATTCTAGCACGCAAAATCGTTGAAGAATGAAGCTTATTCTTAAACGATTTTTGGTAACATTTTGTTTTTAAGTATTGGTACCCCCAAAATGTCAAACTGTTTAATAACCTCAAATTCATTACTTTTAGGATTATTTATAGGTAATAGCTTTGCTTGTTATCCTGCACTAGTGCAACCTGAACTACACTTTTATTGAAAATGAATCCTTTATTATTGTTTTGTAATATTAAGTTTGCTCCAACAATGCATTTTAATGCAAAATTTTAAGTTTAATGTGAAAAAGTGTCCAAGATAACAAATATTGTCATTTTGTGTTGCCAACTGACATTTTGCGAGAAAAATCCCCCAACTAACAACGACCACAAAACAATTAAAAAAACCTAAATAAAAGTTAAAATCGAGAAAATAGTATAAATCACACGTTGCAGAAGGCTATTCTCGCACTCATTCGTTCGTCCACTCGCTCCTTCGTCGCTCGAGGCCAAATTTCGAATTCGTGCGAGAATATGTGGCCTTCTGCAACTTGTACTTTAATATACTATTAAAGGTGGATATTTAGGGCTTTAATTTGATGTATTATTTTTTTAAATTGTCAAAAAAATAAGGATTTTATTTTGGTTTAAAAAATGGGTTCATAAAAATATGTTTTTGAACATGCCTTTATGTTTAACCCTGTATAAACTTTGATCCTTGTTTGATTTGTAATCCGTAATTTTCGGAAAAAATTTTAACATTAAGATTTTTTTTTTCATGGCTCCACACAATTTTTTGGTATTTTTTTTGTTTAATTGTTCTGTAAAACGGTAAGTTGTATAAAAATAAATTCTAAACAAAAAAAAAATATGCTATTGGGTCCATACTTGGATGAAAAATAAAAAAAGTAGTCAAGTACCCAAAAAAATGTTTTTCGGCTTTTTGACGCCATTTTTTTTTAACGCAGCACTGTAATTAAAAAGTTGTTTATTTTGAAAAAAAACTACAAAATTTATTTTAAGTTATTTTAGTTTGGTGAAGTAAGTTTTAAAAAAAATCTACAATTTATATCATTGTGTCAAATTCTTTTAAAACTTCCGGAAAAATTGAGCCGGCGGAAAAAAAACCGTTTTCTTTTCGGAAAAAAACGTAAAAATTGGGAAATTTTCAGGAAAATTGACTTTTGCATTTTTTTATTTTGTTATATTAAAACCATAAAAAATTTACATAGGAGGTCAAAATTTAAAATAGTAGCTAAAAATATAAACTATAAAAATATAAAATTAAAAATAGTGAAAGATTGGTTTTAATGTATATAGTAGTAAAAAAAATTATAAAACGTAAATAATGTATAAAACGGTAAAACAGATATTTCAGCTTACATCAAAGTATAATTTAAATTTATTTTAAATATATCACAGCTAAGAGTTCAAGTGTAATATAAATTTCCAAATATCAGTAAACTGGTAACAAGAAAAAAGTGAATTTTCGACTCTGATTATAATCTTATTAACATAATTATAATAATTATTCCTATTACATATTATATATAATTCAGTAAAAATCTTCTACGGGGTGCAAACAAACAAATTCGGCGCTGTATTAAAATAACTATCATTTTATTTGACTTGATTGATTTATAAAATTATAATTTTTTAATTTAACTTTATAAATCATTTCATATTTTTTAAAGGACTTCCTTTTTGCAAAAAGGACCCAACTGATAGTATATTTAAAGTTTACGTTTATTTTCTTAAATCAATTCAATTTAATGTTTATTTATTATTATTACAATATTATTATTGTTGATTGCTTTCTATAATTTTAGAAAAAAATCAATTTATCCCAAAAATTAGATAATTTACAACAAATTTGGATATTAATAATTTTATAGGCATTTAAAAATTGTATTTATCAAGTTTGATAAAAAATAATAATATAAAAATATGATTATGTTAAGAAAATATGTTATCCTTATCCTAGAATAATTGCAAAATATTTTCCCAATGCATTTAAAATTCTTAAAACTGAAATGTTAAAGGTACAAAAAGTGACAGTTGTATTTATTGGAATTCCCGTTAAAATTTTTAACTTGAGAATCTACCGTCGTTAAAATCCCAAATTTTTCTGTGTAAATCAACATTTACAGTAAAAACGTCATATAATATTTTCAAATATCGTCGCCAAGAAACTATTTAATACTTTTGTATTTTTGTATTAAGATAATAGAATAATTTTCACATTTAGTATTATTTTACAAGAAGGGCACTTTATTTTAACGATTGTATGACATTTGACAACTGTCAACTAACTTAAAGCTAACTTCATTCCGTGACTAAAAACCTGTTGCTAACTTCACCCCGTGACTAAAACGCCATAAAGTCACAACTTGTAATTTATAATTTCTCAAAAAAAAAATGCTTTTTTAGTTTCTCTCGAAAACATCTCGACTGATGTTCACGAACTTGAGAAAGGAATGGAGGCGGTGCGTAAAGAGGCGGAAATTCGCGGCAAAGGCTCTCAAAGTCTCGTCGTCAGAGACTTTTTGGCCAACGCCGAGGACAAGTTGAAAAAACTCAGGATCGAATCGAAACTGGCTCTGGACGCGTTCAGGGAATGCGTGGAATTTTTCGCCGAATCTCCCAGAACCACGGACGCCAATGGGTTCTTCAGCTTGTTGGTTCGCTTTTGCAAAGCTTTTAAGGTAAGAAAATCGGCTTTAATTCGGTGAAAAGTTTTTAAAAATATCTTTTTAAATGACGATTCTATTGAGGTTTAAAAATTGGGTCTCTCCAAACATGCTCATATGAGACACCTTGCTACGTTTTACACTGTATACTTACCCGATTGTAAAATTCTATACAAATACACAAACTATGAAGATTAACCTTTAATTTAAACGAAAAAAAAATTAAAACTGTTTTGAAAATGGCAAAGTTATACATGTTTAAAAATCGCGTAATATTTTTCTTGGGCTTCGTTTTTTTCATCTCCAAACAACTTTTCGAAATCTAGAAAGGTTGGGCTTTAATTTGGTAAAAAGTTTTTAATAATATCTTTAAAAATAACGATTCTATTGAGGTTTAAAAATTGGGTCTCTCCAAACATGCTCATATGAGACACCTTGCTACGTTTTATACTGTATAACTCTTGATACTTACCCGATTGTAAAATTCTATATAAATACAAAAACTATGAAGATTAACCTTTGATTTAAACCAAAAAAAATTAAAACTGTTTTGAAAATGGCTAAGTTATGCATAATCAAAAACCGCGTAATATTTTTCTTAGGCTTCGGATACAGAAAACGAACAGCGCAGAAGGCTGGAGCTTGCGGCTCAGAATGCGAACAATAAAACGCAAGAAGAGGTGGCTAAAAAGAACAAAATCAACCAGAAAAAGCAGCAGGTACGTTTTGATAGAGATAAGTTGCTTAAAGAGTTAGGAGCTTTATTTAATTCGGATAGTAGGGTTTTGCGTAATAACGGTTCTGTCAGATGGTAGTGGGTTGTGAAAATCAGTATTTAACATGTTAAATTAAGAGGGGAACTAGTCAAAATTAGTTTTAAATTTAATTTATTAACTTTAAATATTAATTGTGTTAATAAGAATTTTTTTTATTTTTTGATATGTATATTACCATTATATTTATAATCTTTATACATTGTTATATACAATAAAATCTTTTGATCTGACACGTTTCACATTTTCTTACTAACACTTTCCCGTATCTTCAAACAAATCTATCTTTTTTTAAATAATAATACAAAAAAATAGAGTTGTTTTAATCCTTTAGCTTTTTGTATGCACTAATCACCCCAAAACTATTGTAAATACTTGTATTTTATACTAACAGCATCAATGATATTTATTTTTAATAATTTTTAGAAATTTACATAAAAAATGTTGGGCAATTTTTTTTTTTGGCGATTTTTTGAATTCCATGATTTTTATCAATAAAATTATGTGTTTTTAGAAAATTAATATTGCCTGTCATTTTTAGTCCCTATATTTTTATTTATTTGTATTGTAACTAAAAATAATTTATAAGCATGTGGAAACTTAATTTTTGTTTAATTTTTTTAATTGGACCACATTTTTTTTATTATTTCATCGTTTCAGCCGCCAAATCTGACAAATTTTTTGGCAAAAATTCTAGAAGATTAGTATTTTAAAAGTAAGTTTACGTTGATGTAAAATTTTAACAATTTTGGGGTGACATTCTTTTAAAATTAACCACTTAAAACGTGAATAACTTTTTCACAATTTCGCTTTAAAATTCTTGCTTTCATAAATCTTAAGCTTTAACACTGAAAACTAAATATACAGAGTGAATATAAAAAAGATAATCAACTGGTTTATTACTCTTTTATATAAGGCGAAAAAAATTTTAACAAGGAGATTTGTTTTTTAACAAACTAAAATAAATCTGGCTTGTTATAATTTATACAGAGTTTTCAGTTAATAACTGAGTAACTACTTGGAATAAAAACACCAGTAAAATTTTCTTTTTTCTGTTATTTGCTCTGTAAATCTACTTTGAGTAAAAATTGGTGCAATATTGGCAGGACGCTGTAATAAACGAGCTAAAAACAAAGACGAAAATGGTCCAAGAGAAAAAACTTCTTCAGCAAGACGAAGTTTATAACGGGGCCCTAGAGGACATCCTTTTGGGTCTCAAGAGCGAGCCCTACCGTAGAGCAGATGCAGTGCGCAGGAGTCAACGAAGAAAAATCGACAACAATCGGTTATCGAAAACTTTGGAAGAGTTCGAGGTGTAAATTATTTTTTGGTAGTGGCCCTGTTACTTTACCCAAAGAAATTGACAAAAAATACAAATTTATTAAAAATCGCTTTAAAATAAAAAATGATTTTTCAAAAATATTGTTATTTTTGACAATTTAAAAAAATATAAGATAAAGCTAAAGTAACAAGGCTGAGGTATACCATGGATTTGTGATATAAAAATTTATTGAATTTAAAGCAATTTGTTGAAAAAAAATGACAAAAAAGACTGCTAAATGTAAATAAACATAGTGCCTATAATAATAATTATTATCGTTGAATAAAGCATTTTTATTGTTAATTTATTACATTTAAACTTAATTAAGTCCAAGTTATACTGTAGATATTATTTAATATTGTATAAAATTATTTCCTGCTGTATATTTGTTTATTGAATACTCTTCTGATAATATCCAATATAACCAAATGTGATTGTACTCAATAGGAAATAGGTATTTACTTGTAAATATAAATTAAAAATTTATAGCACATTTTTCCTATTATGTGCACAATATTAAATTAAAGATCTCGAAATTACTTTGAGAAAAATTGGCTTTTCTAAACTGGTATACCAAAAACTTTACAAAACTATTTTTTTTATAATCAGAACATATTTTGTACCTACAATATTTTGTTAAAAATAAAAATTGTTTAACAAATTTTTCTGGTTTTTTATTACAAATATACAGGGTGGTCCAAAATGAACCTTTAATAATTTGAGAATAAAAAAAAACGTTAAAATAATATTATCTTTCTTATTAAACATATTAAAAACGTAAAGGTTTCACAAATTTGGTGAGTATTAGGTATACAATAGATAGGCATTACATTTGTTTTCATACAACACTACAAGTAGTGATAATCTTTCAAGAAACCCTATCCTCCGTGAATGTTACTCTTTCTAGGTTAACCTATATGTTTTCAAAACTGGTATACCAAAAACTTTACAAAACTATTTTTTTTATAATCAGAACATATTTTGTACCTACAATATTTTGTTAAAAATAAAAATTGTTTAACAAATTTTTATGGTTTTTATTACAAATATACAGGGTGGTCCAAAATGAACCTTTAATAATTTGAGAATAAAAAAAACGTTAAAATAATATTATCTTTCTTATTAAACATATTAAAAACGTAAAGGTTTCAGAAATATTTCAGAAATTTGGTGAGGATTAGGTATACCATAGATAGGCATTACATTTGTTTTCATACAACACTACAAGTAGGTAGTGAATCACTACTAGTGATAATCTTTCAAGAAACCCTATCCTCCGTGACTGTTACTCTTTCTAGGTTAACCTATATGTTTTCAAATATCTAAGGTAGTAATTACTTTTAAAAGCATACTAAAAATATCAGTTCACTAAGTAAATTAAACACATCCAAAGCAATCGAATCAAATATAAAATATTATTAAAAATTAAAAGAAATAATTTTTATAACCATTTATATAGGTGTTACAAAAATTGATTCTATCCTCCGTGAATCTGTTTTTGCTTTAAATTTTTGCAACGGATGGCGCTTTAATCATTTTAAATAAGCAAAAACCTTTGTTTATGACATAGATGCATGTGATTCCTAAAGGTCAGTTAGAATTTATATGCAGATGGGAGTGTTGCTGTTTTATAATTCAAAAGGTTAAGTTCATTAATTTGCTATTTAAAAACCTATCCACCGTGAAATGTAATATCTCAGTACATAGATTTTTTTATAAATATGTTATGTATGTACCTACAATTGGATTTTTAAAAAATTACGGTGTCAAAAGTTACAATAACTTATTTCAAATATACAAAGGGTTTTTAAAAAAACATACAAAATCCTAACTTCCGTGAAGCTATCTTCCGTGAAGCTCTTCAAAATGTATGATTTCTTAAAATTCTTGCATAAGTGCAGAACCACTTATGTTATGTTATTACTAGACCTGGTGGCTTCCCAAAATCCCCATTCTAGACTGAAACAACCAAAAATAAAAAATAATCATTTTCACTTGGGGAATATATTCACCAATACGCCAATGCTATATTTATCTTTAATTAATGAATTCTTAGTAATGTATAGCAACAAATCAAAATTAAGCTTTGTAATTAAAAATATCACTAAAAGTATTTACAGTAGTTAGGTGGTACTTTAAAAGAAAAAATATAAGGTGACATCTATAATTTTTATATTTAAGTCATTAACTGTTGTTTTGGCTACTCCCCCATAGGTGGCGAAATCAGTGAACTCTGCAATTAACAACTATTTATGCTACTCTCTCATAGATAGCACTTTTTAATATTACTTGCATTTTTCCGTTTTATTTGGAGGTTTTTACAATAATAAATATTATTTTATTCGTTTTTTCTTAATAAACAAACACTCAAAAACCTATGGTAAATTTTACGAAAGATTACTTTGTTTGTAATAAATCGTAATGCCTTGTCACATCGGTTGTCAATTTAATTAACAAACACATACCATTTGACGTTTATGCAAAACGTAAAATTTGCGGATTTGTTGTATAATAATTTAGTAAGGCAAAATAGCTTGCGTTGAATAAATACAAAATTTTGTTGGATAGAATTTTAAATTTGGTGGGGATTTCGGCGCATGCCCGTTCGTGACTTGCAATGAAAATGGCGTCCTGTTGTCAGGATCAGTCTCGATAAAAACTAAAATCTTTAAATTTTTTATGACCTATGCTTCATCAAATTATAAAAATTAATAAAAAAGATAATAGTCAGTCTCTACTTATTATAAAGAACAGTATTTTCAAAAGAAATCACATAGAAAAGGCTAAAATTGGAATAAAAATGGGTGTTCGAAGATGGCCCGAAAGTTTTTGTGAAAAAGTGATGTGAAGTGTATTTTTGCTGGACCATTCAGTTTGCTTGTAAATTAGGTGAGTTATTCAATCTTTTTCTTTATTTTCGGTTGCCTTCGTTTTATGTTTTACGCTTTTCTAACGAATTTTTTGACCCACCCAAAACATCACGAAATCGCCATTTAATCATTATTTTGCTCAAGGTCAGGGGTGTCAGAAACTCACTAATTCCTAATAAACAAGAGTTATGGGACCTTTGTACTAATTCCACATCGCCATCTAATCAAAATATTTATTATTGTTTTCGCTTTTTTCTCTCCTATTTTGCCAAGTGGCTATCTGGTGATGGTTCCACGAATCATGCATGCCAACACAAACACGGTGGGTTCGGATTTTTATTTTCGAAAACCACACTTTTTATTTTATAAATTTGGGAACGTAAATACGAACCACCGTATCCTAACCAGGTGGTAATATTTTTTTTCTGAAAAAGTTTATTTTATTTTTATTTTAATTTTTTTTAAATCTTTATTTGTATAAACGGATTAAACACAATGTTCTAATGACGTTTCAAAGATAAAGGCGTATTCATGCTCACTTAAAATAAGAAATAAGAAATAAGAATAAGAAATAAGAAATAAGGAATAAGAAATAAGAAATAAGACCGCGATTGATCGTTCATGCTGATAACCTAAGAAATAAAAAATGTTGTCACAAAATTATATTTTATTATAGTGGATTATATTGGCTATAAACGTAAACAATCAACAGCGACACTCTACGCGATTTCCAACACCATGGCTCCATGCATATAACAAATAAAACCCATCAAAATAATTCACAGACCCATTTTGGTTCTTTGCGCAGTTTTATACGCAAGAATAAGAACCAAAGTTAAAAATTGTTATCTTTATTCTTATTTCTTATTTCTTATTCCTTATTTTCATGAGCATGAACGCAACCATTACTTTACACAGTTTTAACTTTTTATCTTATTTCTTATTTCTTATTCTTATTTCTTATTTCTTATTTTAGTGAGCATGAATGCGCCTTAAAAGGTTAAAATTCGTTAATAATAATATTTATTTATTTTAAAGTAACTTTTATAACTGTTATAATTAAAATTAAATTTTAAAAATTGGGTTTTTTTAAAATTCGTTAATAATAATATTTATTTATTTATATAAAAGTAACTTTTATAACTGTTATGATTAAAATTAAATTTTAAAAATTGGGTTTTTTACAGAAACTGTCAGAAAATACATCTGTCTACCATGTTAACTGTAGATTTTATATTTTGTTTCCAAATCAACCGTCAGTGTTGCCAGGTTTTTTAAACTTTAATGCTAATCAAAAACTACTCGCAAAACTCTTTCCTCTTTTATCTATGAACTATTTGTCAAAAAAGAAATTTTTTAATATGCTAGATTAGGGTTGCCGGAATGAAAATGCCGATAATTGAAGAAAATTTTAAATTAAAACGAAATAATAGGTATTATAATACCTATCTACCTATTATAATATATAATTACAGAACATTTAAAATAAATCATTAGTTGTATGTAACACTGTGTAACTGTTAATTTATTAAAATTAAAACTAAATACTTTTATTTTGTTAAATTAAAATAAAAAAATACAAACACAACTTAACAAGTAGGTACATAATTAAAACTGGATATTGCAACTATATTTTTCATTCAACTAAAATGTTATTCTAAAACATGGAAAATAGGTTTTTGTTAAAGAAGACTTGTATTAAATATGGAAAGCCTTGCATCAATATGTTAGATACAGGGTGTTAAATTTTTATTTTAAGTTTTTTTTGTGACAAGTTATTAAGCAAACTCGGCGACGCTGTGTATTTACTAAGCAGAAAAATCAAACATCTTAAATATGGAAACAAGATAAACAAGGCACTTGCAGCTAGCATGGTTGAAATATGTATTTTAGAATAGTACCTATGTTGAACATACTTTATTTATTTATTTTATAAATTTTAATTTAATTTAACCCTAAAATACTATTATAGGACCCTCTTTCTTAATTTTTTTTTACGTTTTTGACTTTTTTATTACTTTTATTTTATAATACCCATTATGAGTATTATAAATTTTCACTTTTTTGCTTTTGTAAACTTTTTTTTTAAATTTGAATAAATCTCTGTAGAAAAAATTTCTAATTTAAAAATTGTGGTTTTTTAAAATTGACTTATGGTCCCACTGTGCAAATGTCAACATAACCAAAAAAACTTGCCTATCTGACAAATCTGAGTATGTGGACTTTCCATAGGGACCGTCTGCCTTCAGGCAAACCAGCACAAAGCAGTACTATGTGCTGGATAGTATTAAATTCATATTCGTAAAATGGAAAAAACCCGTCATGGAAAACATAGTAAGGATAAATCTAGAAAAAAACGTAGAAATAGAGACGAGAACGGCCGGTCCTTAACTTCCAACAACAAACCTTTAGTTGAGTACTCTGATGTCAGTTCTGAGGATCTTTCAGGGCCAGAAGCTGGAGAAATTCAGAGCGCAGAAGAAGGCAGTTTACTTAGTCTGAGTGATGAAGGAGAAATAATGCACAGAAACAGCCATCACACTCACTACTCTCGCTATGAAGAGGAAATATACATGTCAAGACAATCCCTGACTTTACACTCACCAGGTAGGTCACCTTTATATGTAGATACAATTCATTTGTGGGAACTAAAGGACACTAATTTAGATTGGGGTTGAAAAATTCAGGATACATATACAGGGTATTGTGTGAATAAGTACCTTAACTTCATCTCTATGATATATTCTTAATCTTAACACAAAAAACGTCAAAATAGAGACTGCCTAAAGTGTTGTAACCTGGATTTTGCACACCCTGTAAGTGGTGATTTTTAAATTGATACTATTTTCTAACCATGTTTTTTTTCTATGAATTAAATTTTTTTTATAACTTTCAATTTTTTAAAATGATTTTATTAAAAAATATCTTTGGAAAAAATAGTACCTACAAGTTTAAAAGTCACCCTATATTATTTGTTTGTATTTTGAATGTTTTGCTTTGTTTAATCAATACAATCATCTGCTTAGGCACCTTTTACTGTTTTTCTTTAAGTTTTTGCTTTTAAATTTTTGATAAAAATTATCATGAACCTGGTGAAAAAGTACCTTCTATTTATATATTTGGGTAGGTAAAATCAATATTTTAAGTTTGGCATGTTTTTGGATTAGTTTGCATAATTTTTAGTATGTTTAAAATTGAAGTAAAACAATAATTAAATTTCAAATTTTGATAATTGCTGTGATAAAGTTAGGTTAGAAGAAACCTCCAGTGTCAAAAATGTGAGGTTAATTATTGCAATACCACTTTTACACTTTTATAATTTTAGAATTATAGCTTAATTAAGCTAGGCTACCTCTATATTTTTTCTAGGGGCATATAATACATCTATTTGACATAATTGAAAGGGCAAGTAGATAAAAGGGTTAAGTAACAATTTTAATAAATCAATCAAATACAAATACAATTTAGAAAGAAAAAATAATAAAAATCACAGAATTAAGACTTATTTAAGAATGTCAAAAACACTTCTTAAATGTCAGCTCCAATTTTCTAACAATAGATTTGTTCCTACCAAGTATTTGGACTGTCAAATGCACGTCAGGAACATGCGCAATACGAAAATACGGTCGGTAGGAACAAGCCTAATAAGTCAAGACTTTTAATAAAAACACTTATAAATATAAAAACACATTTAAGAATGTTAAAAACTCACTGTAGAATGTCAAAAACACATTTTTATAGTACAAATACATTAAAATAATACAAATAACAAAATTAAGAATGTCAAAACCTATTAAAGAATATTTAAAACCATTGAGACCAAATTCTATCTCAATGTTTAAAACACTTTTGGAATGCCAATATCACATTTTTAAAGGTGTCACCATGATAAAAATGAGAAATTACAGACTGTCAAGACTTGTAAAATTAATTAATGGAAAAATTTTAAAATATTTATATGGTTCGGAAAAAAGCAATTCAATTTTTACCATTTTTGTCATTTTAAAATGTGTTTTTGACATTCTTTATTATAACAAATGAAGACCAAAATTGCTATGAATGCACTTTGGAAAGTTAAACAATTTTTTTTTGTAATATCAAAACCATAAGAAAGCTAAAATTAATAAAGAATGTCGAACACACATTTTAGAACGACAAAAATAGTAAAAATGTCAGGACTCTTTTGATATTGTGAAACAAATTACATTTTTAAAACGATTTTGTTGTAATCTTTTAAATACTCTTTAACATTTTAAAATGTAATTAAAAATAATAAGCAAATTACTAAATTATTAAAAACTTTTTAAATCATTATGTTGTTAACATTCTAAAATTAGCATTTTGTAATTCTAAATAGTGTTTTTGGCATTCTTAAGTAAAACAAATTAAAAGTCAAAATTAATGTAAAAACCAAAAATAGTAAAAATATCATGACTCTTTTTGAGATTGTAAAACAAGATTTTTTGTAATGTAAAGATGTTAAAATACACAGTTCAGAATGTTAAACAATTTTTTTTATAATATCAAAACAATAATAAAGAATGTCAAACACATTTTATAATGACAAATATAGTAAAATGTCTTGAAATTATGTGTTGTATTCTTTCAAAATTATATTTCAAAATGTTTTGACATTTGTGGCAAATATTTTTAAATTTTAGGGTGTTTGGATTTTTACATTTTAAATTTTTAGATTTTTTTTTCTGTAATCTTTTGAAATACTCTTTGACATTTAAAAATAATAAGCAAGTAACTAAATTATTTAATTTCTCCATCTCTGAGGTACGCAAATAAGCTTTTACCTTCTTTGTTAGCTTATTTTTAATATGTTTGTCATTTTAAAATGTACAATTATAAACTGTTTAAATTCTTAAGTTGTTAACATTCTAAAATTAGCATTTTGTCATTCTTAAATGGGTTTTTGGCATTCTTAAGTAAAACAAATTACATTTTTAAATCGATTTTTTGTATCTTTTAAAATACTATTTGACATTTTAAAATGTATTTCAAAGTAATAAGCAAATTATTTAATTTCTATACCTCTGAGGTATGTAAATAAGCTTTTTGAGATTGTTATGTTTCATAATACTCTTTGACATTTTAAAATGACTTTTTGACATTCTTTAGTGTAACAAATGAAGACCAAAACTGTAAAGATGTTAAAAAAAGCACTTCAGAATGTTAAACATTTTTTTTATAATATCAAAACCATAAGAAAGTCCAAATTAATAAAGAATGTCAAACACATTCTAGAATAATGATTACTGACGGGACAAACAAAAACAAGACAAAATGTTTTATACAAATTTATAATAATTTTATAATACCTAGTTATTATATCTTAATTTCACTGCTGAGGACTGGCATAAAATTATTATTATAGGAATATTTGTTTATGTCACATATTTGATAAAAATGTAACCCCTTAAAAGTATAAAAAAATAACGCCTTAAACTTGTAAAATGTAGCCCCTTAACCTTACATTTTTGACATTTAAAGGTTTTAACATGTTTTCGATGATTTTTGAGACGTATTTCTTTTTAGGGAGACGCCACCACCGCCTGGACCCGTCCATGATCCCGCACACGCCGTCTCCCGGACGCAGGGAGCGCAAGCTGAGCGCCTCGTCGCGTTCCTCGCGCTCCAGCGACGTGAGGCACAGGAAAAAGTTGGCGGCGGAGGCGTCGCCGCCGCCGGCGTACGCGGCGGCGGCCGCGGCCTACGCCGACGACGACTACGACGAGCGCAAGAAGCGCAAGAAGAAGGAGAAGAAGCACAAGAAGGACAAGAAGGCGAAGAAGAGGAAGAAAAAGTCGAAGCATCGGTCGAGGAGCACGAGCATGAGTAGCGCCGACACCGATTCGGAGGAGTCGAACGTCAGCAAGAAGACTGCCGAGCCCGTCGAGAAGGAGCCGTTGTCTGATTGGGAACCTGACCTGGTAAGAGACAATTTTGTTTTTGTTCTATTTTTTTACAGCTATATTTGATTGGAAGTTGGTTTAGACTTCGTCAAGCGTTTCAGGAGTTTCTGGAGTTTTGTGTTTTTAAATTAAATTTTTGCCACAAATGTCAAAACATTTTGAAAGAATTCAACACATTATTTCATGACATTTTTCTATTTTTGTCATTCTAAATAGTGTTTGACATTTTGAAATGTTTCTTTGATATTCTACATTTACATATATTGGTGTTTACATTAATTTTGACTTTTAATTTGTTTTACTTTAAACACTATTTAGAATGACAAAATGCTAATTTTATCAGGATTTAAAAAATTTTTAATTGCACATTTTAAAATGACAAACATTAAAAATAAGTTAAGAAAGAAGATAAAAGCTTATTTACATCAGAGGTAGAGAACTTAAAAATTTGGTTATTTTGCTTATTACTTTAAAATACATTTTGAAAATGTCAAATAGTATTTTAAAAGATACAAAAAATCGTTTTAAAAATGTAATTTGTTTTACAATATCAAAAGAGTCATGACATTTTTACTATTTTTGTCATTATAAGACGTTTGTTTGACAATCTATATTTATTAGGGTGGAGCGAATAAAATTTTTTTTTTCCTTAGCCTGGGGGTGGAATTTGTAGCCTATAAAAAAGAAAATTTTTGAAAAAAAAAATTTTTTACCCAAAGTCTTGAGGTGGCCCACTGATTTATTAAATTTAAGTTAAAAACGAGTGGTCGTAATTCTTTTTTTCAAAAGTGTTCCGGAAACTGCGGAGTGTCCTCTTTCTTGCTATTTAACAGTTATGAACTTAAAAAAAATGTTTGTGCTCATTATTGTTGTTTTTAAAAAAATTCCAAAATAGTAACATGCTTTTCTGAGGCAATAGAGCGAATTTCGAGTTGAACACGATCAAATTTGTTTATTTTTAGATAAATTTGAAGATTACAAGCCAAAAAATTTTTTTTTTTTATTCAAAAGAATTTTAACTTAAAGGGGGGTAGCGGGTTAAGGGGGGTCTGGCGGCCCCCACCGAATCTGGTAAAATCGTTCCAAAAATCTTGAAGAGGGTCGAAAAACAAGCAGTATAAGCTTTTTACTGACATTACAACCCCAAACGAAAACACAGTAATGGCGAAAAATATGATTTTTTGTGATTTTTATTTTTTTCAACCAGTTTAATTTATTTTTAAATGGTTTAAAACGCAATTAAAAAACTGTTTTGGATGTATGGTAGTCCCCTGAATTTTTTCAGATTTTTTGGTCAAGAAAAAACATGTGAATTTTAGGTTTAAATGCGAAAAAATCGTAAAAAACGCGTCATTTTCAAGATTCAACCCTCTAGTTTTTAGGGTTGTTTTCATTTTCCCGAGGGGTGCTGTATAGTATAGATAGCGGCAATCGTCCTCTTTTGAATGCAGGCAACTGGACTCAATTTGGTCAATTTTCGCCATTACTGTGTTTTCGTTTGGGGTTGTAATGTCGGTAAAAAGCTTATACTCCTTGTTTTTCGACCCTCTTCAAGATTTTTGGAACGATTTTACCAGATTCGGTGGGGGCCGCCAGACCCCCCTTAACCCGCTACCCCCTTTAATTTAAAAAATCAGTGGGCCACCTCAAGACGTTGAGTAAAATAATTTTTTTTTTCAAAATTTTCTTTTTTTATAGGCTACTAATTCCACCATAAATATTTATTAACACAGGTTTGAATCACAGCATTTAAACAATTTTAATATCGTGTTCAACTAATATAATCAATGAAATTAAATTTTCTGGTATAAATCATATTTTATTCAAGCTTACGTAATAGTCACACAGTAATATAAAATAGCATAATACTTTTTTACAGAGCTAAGTTAACAATTTTACAGTTTTAATCCTCGTCACTATCTTCTTCAATAACATGTTCAACGCTTTGAACAGAGAAAAGATTTGTGAGAATCTGTGCTGGACGAATAATTCGCGACAAATATCTTTGTTGTCAAAAATTTTTTTTGACATCAAATTCGTGATCAGCGACCTCAAAAACCTCTATGGAGATGTATTTTTTATAGCAAAGACGCATTATACCAAGTACGCGCCGTAAATTACCGAAAGTTGAAAATTCGAGTTTTTTTCAAAAAATCGCCCCGCTCACCAGAATTGACCAAATTGAGTCCAGTTGCCTGCATTCAAAAGAGGACGATTGCCGCTATCCATACTATACAGCACCCCTCGGGAAAATGAAAACAACCCTAAAAATTAGAGGGTTGAATCTTGAAAATGACGCGTTTTTCACGATTTTTTCGCATTTAAGCCTAAAATTCACATGTTTTTACTTGACCAAAAAATCTGAAAAAATTCAGGGGACTACCATACATCCAAAACAAATTTTTAATTGCGTTTAAACCATTTAAAAATAAATTAAACTGGTTGAAAAAAATAAAAATCTCAAAAAATCATATTTTTCGCCATTACTGTGTTTTCGTTTGGGGTTGTAATGTCGGTAAAAAGCTTATACTCCTTGTTTTTCGACCCTCTTCAAGATTTTTGGAACGATTTTACCAGATTCGGTGGGGGCCGCCAGACCCCCCTTAACCCGCTACCCCCTTTAATTTAAAAAATCAGTGGGCCACCTCAAGACGTTGAGTAAAATAATTTTTTTTTTCAAAATTTTTTTTTTATAGGCTACTAATTCCACCCCCAGGCTAAGGAAAAAAAATTTTTTTCGCTCCACCCTAATATTTATATTGACCTTTGGTTTTTATATTAATTTTGACTTTTAATTTGTTTTACTTAAGAATGCCAAAAACACATTTAAGAATGACGAAATGCTAATTTAAGAATGTTAACAACAAAAGAATTTAAACGGTTTATAATTGTACATTTTAAAATGACATATTAAAAATAAGCTAACAAAGAAGGTAAAAGCTTATTTGCGTACCTCAGAGGTAGAGAAATTAAATAATTTAGTTATTTGCTTATTATTTTTAAATACCTCTTCAAATGTCAAAGAGTATTTCAAAATATTACAGAAAAGAAGTGTAAAAATTAAAAATTTAAAAAATTTTGCCTCAAATGTCAAAACATTTTGAAATATAATTTTGAAAGAATACACATTATTTCAAGACATTTTACTATATTTGTCATTATAAAATTTGTTTGACATTCTTTATTATGGTTTTGATATTATAAAAAAACATTCTGAAGTGTGTTTTTTAACATCTTTACATTTATAGCAATTTTGCTCTTCATTTGTTACACTAAAGAATGTAAAAAAGTCATTTTAACATTACAAAAAATCTTGTTTTACAATCTCAAAAAGAATCATGATATTTTTACTATTTTTGGTTTTTACATTAATTTTGACTTTTAATTTGTTTTACTTAAGAATGCCAAAAACACATTTTAGAGTGACAAAATGCTAATTTTAGAATGTTAACAACATAGGATTTAAAAAGTTTTCAATTGCACATTTTAAAATGACAAACATACACTGCGCGTCAAAATTAACGCATAAGAAGTAAAAAAAATCCAACTCGAAAACGGCTTTACCAATCTTTATTAAATTTTGGATAAAAATACCTTAACTTATATCTCAGTTTACGTGTTCAAGGGTTTTTCGAGAAAATATCCTTAAAGCTCTTTAATTTAATAATAATAAAAACGCTCGAAAAAAAACTTTTATAGGGAAATTTTTTTAAGTAAATAAAAAATATCCTGTAAAAGACCGTATTTTTGTTACCCTGAAAATGTACAAATCAAACGAACAGTAACGAAAATACAGCGTTGTCGTTCTAAATTGTGTGTTCGACATTCTTTATTAATTTTAGCTTTCTTATGGTTTTGATATTATAAAAAATTTTGTTTAACATTCCAAAGTGCGTTTATAACATCTTTACATTCATAGCAATTTTGGTCTTCATTTGTTAAACTAAAGAGTTTCAAAAACATATTTTAATATGACAAAAATAGTACAAATGTAATTGCCTTTATTTAAGCATATAAACATTTTAAAATGTCATAGGGTATTTCCGAAGATTACATTTTTACTATTTTTGTCATTATAAAATGTGTGTTCTTTATTAATTTCAACTTTCTTATGGTTTTGATATTAAAAAAAATTGTTTAACATTCTGAAGTGCATTGTTTTTTACATTTGGTTTATAATAGTTTTGACTACTTAAGAATACAAAAGAGTGACAAACTGGTAATTTTAGAATGATAACAACATAAGGATTAAAAAGTTTTTAATTGCACATTTTAAAATGACAAATGACAAACAAAGAAGGTAAAAGCTTATTTATGTACCTCCGAGGTATATAAATTAAATAGTTTGTTTATTGTTTCTAAATACAGCTTTTACATCCTACCTAAGGTTACATTATATAAAATGTAATGGTTCAGTCTTATAAAGCATTAAAAGTGCAAATTTAAGAATGTTAAAAAAAGAGTAGAAGTATAATAAAGTAAATAATATCAACGAATTAAAAAAGGCACAACCACTAATTTCTTACGCCACAAACACATGCTACAGTAGAAACCACGAATTTATGAACGTGACTCATCGGGTGCCGAACATATCTCAGACATGCTAGCAGTAATGTTTTACTTGTCTTGTACATTCGATGCAGCGGTAAATGTACTCACACGTAAGTTTTTAAGCATCCGGTCTAAAACGCGCCATCTGTGATGTAAAACTGCCTAGGTGTTGGACAAAGATGGACATATGACGCGTGTCCTAGCTTGTTACTTATTTTTGTTGGAATTCAGTGGAGCTCGTGTTTTAGGCATTTTATTTTATTACATAGTAAGGCAACCAACTCTACACTGAAAAAAAATATTAGATTGAAATGTAAAGTTTTAATTTAACTTTATGGCCCCGTTAGAACAGCACTGCACTGGACCGTGACCTTCGATAGATTGCTTCGTACGATTGTGCCTGATGAGTCACGTTCATATATTCGTGGTTTCTACTTTACGGAATTTTTTTCATCCCTCAAATTTTCTCAGACGCTGGCAGGGACAAAAGTGTCGCAAGCGATCGACACGAGCGCCTGCTCGCCGGTCTCGAACGACAGCATCGCGTCGCCCGACCCGATCGAGGACGACGTCGACGACGACGACGACGACGGCGAATCCAACAACCACCACCACCACCACCGCCGGCGGCGGCGCCGCACCCCGAAATCGCCCCCGTCGCCCGCGTGCGACACCCCGCCGCCGAAGTTCCGCGGCGGCGCGGAGTACCCCGCGCTGACGTTGGCGGCCGTCGCGCGCGCCCGAGACGAGTACCGGCACCGCGAGCCGCGCGAGTCGCCGCACACGCCGCCGCCGCAGACGAGGGGCGAGGGCAAGGCGGCGACGTCGAATCACCACTACGCGCTCGGCGAGACGGTGAGGATCCGCGACAGCCCGCCCATCGTCGTGGAGGATCGCGAGTCGTCGAGGAGGAGCCCCGCCTCCCCCAAGTCGCCCTACAGCACGAGGAATACAGGGTGAGTTGCAAAAAACTTTTAAGCTTGCTCCCTTGTCCTAAATTTCGACCGTATTTTATCACTTTACAAAAACATTTTAAGATGTTTATAACAGTGTTTTTAATATTAAGACTTACTAAAATGTTTTAAATGTAAAAGAAAATTCAACTAGGTTTTTTAAAATTATGCAATCTATAATTTTTATTATGTCTGACTAGGGGTTTAAAAAACGAAAACATTTGGAAAAACTGTTTTTTCAGGCCTTGGAAAAATTTACTTTTTTGGGAATAGTAGCAATTTTAAAAAATATATCCTTACAGGGAAAAATTTATAAAACCAAACATTACATTAAATTACAATTAAAAATTAAATTAAATTGATTTACTAATTGATATACTGTCGGTTGGGTCTTCTTTGCATTGATAATATCCAATTACAAAATTATGAATGATTTATAAAGTTAAATTACAAAATTATAATTTTATAAAGTGTCAAATAAAACGAAGGTTGTGTTAATAGTATTAACTTAATACACCACCGAATATGTTTTTTGCGACCCGGTAGAATATTCACTTTTTTATACCAGTGTACGGATAGCAGAGCTGGGCAGTAATTGACTTGAAAGTGCTTGAAAAAGTGCTTTAAGCACAATAGTGCTTCGAGCACAGTGCTTGCAAGCACTTTTAAAATACAGTGCTTGGTAATTGGTAATTGAATTTCGCATTTCAAGCCATTTGAGTGCTTGCAAGCACTTAAAAGGCTTGCAAGCACTTTAAAGGGCTTGCAAGCACTAAAGGGCTTGCAAGCACTATCAGATTTGAGGGCTTGCAAGCATTGAAAGTGCTCCCGAGCACTTTAGACTCTAGAGGGAAATGCCCTTAGTAACAACCCTGTGGTTTCATCATCATCTAATGCGGTGTGCGGTGCAGCATAAGCTTTAATGTGATTGGTTGGTTGAAGGCCGACTTGGCCAGTACCTTTCTCCTTGCAGATAATTTGTACTTATTTTTTGATGATTTCTTCACTTTAATTGTTTTGCGTCATGTTGTGTGGACTAATAAATTAAAAACAAAAAACTTTGGTTTGGTTTGGTTTGGTTATTTTAATATAACGATCATCCAAAAATGTTTCTTATTTTTAAAATAAAGATGTTAATTAATTGGGTAGGAAGCAATTGGAAAACTAAAAAGTGCTTGGTAATTGGTAATTTATTTAAGAAAAAAGTGCTTGCAAGCACTTTTTGAGTAATTGGTGCTTGGTAATTGAATTTTTCAATTACTTTTCTCGGTAATTGGTAATTGCAAGCACTTAAAGTTTTCAAAGTGCTTGATGCTTGGTGCTGGCAATTACTTTTCCAAAGGGCTTGGAGCTTGGTGCTCGAAGCACTTTTTTTGGGTGCTTTGCCCAGCTCTGACGGATAGCATTCGTAAATATTTAGAAATTACCCATTGAATAAAATTAAAAAAATGCAAAAGTCAATTTTTCTGAACCCTATGTCTGACGTAATAATAATTAAATAAAATTTTGTCAAGCATAAATTTAATCCAAATTTAATGAAAACAGATAGGAAAAATATCGATTTTTAATATGTCCAGTAGGGTGTCCCTTATTTTTATTTTTTTTACGCATACCCTCTAATTATATTTATTTCTTGTTTATATACTACCAGTAAAAATTTCAGCTCATTCTATAAACGGGAACCCGTGCCGACTTGCATCTAAACCCTCCGTTAGCCAACGTTAGGCGCGCGCGGTATTTTGTAAAACGAAACACTTTAAAAAGAAGATATACTTTATGACTGTATTTTTCTAATGATTTTATTAAATATGATTACTTATTAATTAGGGATGCACCGGAGTTACTGCTCACCTACTGCCTCCGGCCGATCCGGCCTATGCGGCAGCATATCCGGCTCCGGCCAAATTTTTAAACTGATCCGGCAACAACGGCCGGATTGTGGCCGGATTTTTTAAATTAAAAATAAAATATTTTTTCAAATGTTTATTATAAAAAAAAATATATTCTTTTACAAACTATTTTTTTAGAAATAATTTAAAAATAGATTAAGGATTAAACTTCATGATTTAAGCGAACATAAGATAACGAAGTCTTTAAGTTATAGTGCAAAAATTAGAGTTGTTCACCTTTCTCGGGAAGAAATCGGCTCTGCGCAGTTAACAGGTGATCGTATCTATGCGCACTAAGTAACAGACGCCGTACGTATGCGCAGTGGTTTTCAGATGGTTGTATTATACCTATTATAATTATTGTACCTATGTTTTTTAATTGTTATAACTTTTAGATTAGGTATATTAATAAATATTATTTATTTATTTTTATGTTACCTATTTATTATTTTTTTAAACGTTTTATAAAGATATACTTTTTAATATATTATTGGTTTTAAAAACTTTTATTTATTGATAAATATATATGTTTTTGTTTTTTCCCCTAAAATAGCTATTTAACGAACTCATTTGAGTCCGTAAAATAATTCTTTTTTTGTACTAGTACGAAAAAATTGCTATGGAAACTTTTGCAACATGGTTCTTGAACCATTGCAATACAACAATTAAAAATAAAATTCGATAATTGTCACTGACAGTGACTCACTGACAGTGACTCACTGTCACTGTCAATAACCTTAATTTCGAGAAATAGGTATTTACTCTATTTAAAAATTTGAATATATGGACCTAGAACAAAAAAATGTTGTTTGCAACATGTACCTAAAAATCATGTTTTTAGGACGAATCGTAGCTGTTTGCGGTCGAGGCGAAGCCAAGACCAGAACAGCCGATGTTACAAAAATAGCTATAATAATACGTATACGTATATAATACGTATATATATATAATATGTATAATTATATTACTTTTTAACTAATATAATATGTATATATATACATATTATATCAGTTTTAACGCGCCAAAATAACAAGTAGGTACATGACAAAAACCTGGTGTAAAAATAAAAAAGACAATGCGCCACCTTATATTGATTACTTATAAGGTGGGCAGGTACCTAAAATATAAACACTTTTGTGGCGACTGTTTTTACTGTTACTGAATACATGAATAAAGTGGACTAAGTTATATAAGTAAATCCGTGTATAATTTAAGTATACCACACTTTTATTTATTTTTAATACGACTATAATGCATGCGTAAAATGAAAGGTCTGTCAATTTTTCTCCTTGTTTTAAATAACAAATGTTAATTTACTTTACATGTATTGTTGGTTGCCTGTTCGGGAACAGGATCCCCACATACCACATCAACACGTAATTGGTAACTAAGTGCAAGATTTGCATAATACTGAAACAGAAACTGCACCTGCCTGTGTAAAAACACTAAGATCCGGCCGACTCCGGCTAAATCCGACAAAATCCGGCCGGAGTTAATCCGGCCGATGACGCCGGATTACTGCATCCGGTAATCCGGCCAAAATCAAATCCGGTGCATCCCTATTATTAATATCATGCTTTTGTTTCTATCATTTGTTTCACTAATTTAGTTGGTTTTATCCCTTAAATATATTAATATACTAATTAGTATTGCTAAAATATACTGTTATATGAAATTTCAGCTTTTTATAAGCATTTCTTTTCTTGATGTCCTCTCAAAAATATTTCAGACAGTTCAATAAGTTTTCGGTAGTCATCTCTCACAATAGACTCTTTTAGTTATTTAGAGTAAAACCCATTAAGTTTATCAATTTCAGAGTTTACGGCCTATTCACCAGATCCTTCTGGGTAACTAGCCACTCCCTGTGAAAATATACATTTTTATCAAAGTATACACATAAATAAAATTATATTTTAACATTTGTCAATAATTTATAATATAAGGGTCACATAATAACAAACACAAAATGACTTACGATCGAAGACCTCGCGACCAACCGTGTTACAAAATACCGAGCGCCTAACGTTGGCTAACGGAGGGTTCAGATGCAAGTCGGCACGGGTTCCCGTTTATAGAATGAGGTGAAATTTTTACTGGGAGTATATAAACACGTAATAAATATAATTAGAGGGTATGCGTAAAAAAAATAAAAATAAGGGACACCCTAATGTCCAGGCATTATTTTTTATGATACATTTTAATTTGATACGCATTTTTTGTAACATTTAAATATTTAACCGACGAATATTTTTAAACATTTTACATATTATTTTTTTAGTTAAATTAAAATTAGCGTCATTTAATTATTGTGAGACAAAACATTATTGAAAAATTTTTTTTTACAAAATTTTTAAACTATTTTATTTTATTCCATTATTTTTGCAGTTTCTTATTTAACACGACAATCATTTTTATTTTACATTTAAAATTATGACTTTACATAATAAAAATTATAAAATTAATTTTATCTGTACAGTGTACAGTGTATATTTCTAATGCGGCAGAAAGTGGCAACTGCAGTAGTTCAAATGTGTAGTGCCACAATTAAATAATTTTATTTGTACACTTAAAATGAATACTAAAATTTTTATTATATACCTAGTCATAATTTTAATTACAAAATAAAAATTCCGCGCATTATGTTTATGTGTACACATAAAATTAATTGTACTATTTTTTATTAGAATTAAAATTATGCGTACACATACAATTAATTATGACACGCCCTTTTACCTTTTAATTGAATAATAAATATTAAGTTGAATATTAATGTGTCACAAAAATATTGCACACAGAAAAATTACATTTAATAAATAATTTAACATCTTATATAAACATATTTAAAAAAAGAATAACTTCTTTGATATTATTCTAATAAATGTATTATGTCGAAGCTATTATTTTTCAATGCAATTAATTTTTTAAAGTATTAATATTTAACTTAATATTTATTATCCGATTATAAAGTGAAACGGCGTACTTAAAGAACCTCAAAACTTAAGAATTTAAAAATAACATTTTAGAATGCCAAAACAAATTTGGAATGTAATGTTTAATTTAATGTCATATTAAAGAATGTTAAAATAAGGTTCATTTTTTAAATCCATTGGAATGTCAAGAGAAAACACAATTTAATGTTTATCATTCTAAAAACATATTTTAAGATAGAGGGTTCCAAAAAAATCTGTATGTTAAAATCACAGTTTTATATATCAAGAATGTAAAAACTTTATTTTAAAATAAAAAAATTACTTGAAATAAAATACATTTTAGAATGTAAAAACAAATTTAATTATGTACTATTCATATCTCATATTTAAAAATGTTAAAAATGTGCTTTATATTTTAAAATCAAGACGTATTTAAGAATTTCAAAAACACATTTCCAGTAGCAGTTTCATGTGTGAAAAAATTGAATAAGTTATTTTTTTGCTACAAATTTCGATATAATGATTTAAAATTTAATAAATTAAATATCTTGGTGTACCATTTTTACTTTTGTTTTAGATATGTTTGGAGATATGATTTTAACCAGAATCCCCTCTATAGGTATCCTTTCCAATTTATTTTTTGTTTTATATACCCTTCTATGTGTATACTTCTATAGGTTTTTTTTTATTTAAAGAGCTACCAAGTCGGTTAAATAACAGAAAAGTTGCGTAATTACAATCCTATGAAATTTGTAAATTTAAAAAAAGCTAGCGGTTTTCAAAATATTTGAAAAAAATTCACGCCAATTCGTGTTTTATCCAAATAATTTGCAAATATTATTTGGAATACTAAAATATAAGAGGAGAAGGTGTAAATATGGAATATGCTTGCAATATGGAATTCCTATATTTCTCCCCTATTTTTTTCGACAAATTATTTTTTTTAAATAGACAGACTTTTAATTTAATTAATTTAGCAAAAGATTTTTCTTCTTAATTCTAATGAAATTTGATTTCTCAGTTTTAAAAGCAATTTCAGTCTAAAAACAAAATAGTATTCCGTACTTACACCTTCTCCTCTACCATACAGCATCGCTAGCAATTACAAAACTTTTTCTCAGTTTACCACAAACAAAATCCGGGTTTTTTTCTGCAATAAAAACGATGTTTTTTTCGGCGCATCAATTCGTTTTATAAGCATTCAATTTTCTTAGTTTCTTTAAGAAACTTTCTTGACCCATTTCTGGTAATATTCATAAGAAAAAATTAAACCGACACCTCGCCAAAGTTTTTTGTTTTGAGTGCGTTTCACCAACTTCAAATACCGACAGACAGCTGTTTCGACCTATATTGGGTCTCATCAGTGTCGGACAACTTGGTGTAGTGGAACTAGGGTTGCAACTTTTCATGAAAAGTTGAAATTTTTGAAAAGTTGGGTTTTATTTTTCGGAAAAGTTGGAAAAGATGGAAAAGTTGAGTTTTTGTAATGTAAACGTATAAAACATAAATAATGCTTGTCAATGTATTAAAATAATTTATTTCTTATGTATTTATACATACGTAACAAAATAACAAAAAAAAATTTCAAACAAAATAAAATGAACAGACAACATAATAACAACAAAAATAGGTTTGAATTAAAAAAATCATATTTTTTAAGTAAAAAGGAATAGAAATACAAAATAAAAAATAATTACAAAAAAATATGAAGCCAAAATTATTAAATTTATTGTTGTTAAAATATATGGAAATTTACAAGTAAAAATTTAAAAATAAAAAGAAAAAAAAACTTTCTTCTTTTCCACTTTTATATTTTCACTTGCAAATTTCCATAATTAAAAAAAATAATATTTTTTTCATACTGTGTATAAAATACGTTATAATAAAAGAATCTTTATATAATAGAAACAATCCTTTTAGCATGTTTTACTAAAAACACTTAAAATCTAGCGATTTATATCGAATTTTGACCAAATTATCTACCAAAAAAAAATTATGGTAGTGGAAACGCTGGTTAGAAGTCAACTCATTGTTCATTGGCTCCCACCTAATAACTTTTCTAACTTTTCATAGGGGGTGCCGAACTTTTCCAACTTTTCCAAATTTTCGACCGAACTTTTACTTGTTTGCAACACTAAGTGGAACACAGTCAAAACAAAGGACTCCCCGAGCTTATATGCTCGGTCGGTAAGCCAACAGAGGCGAGATCACCTGATGTTCTTACATCTCGCCTCTGTTGGCTTACCAACCGAGCATATAAGGGGAGTCCTTTGTTTTGACTGTGTTCCACTACAGCAAAGTTGGAGGAAAGCACTCAAAACAAAAAACTTTGGCGAGGTTTAGGTTCGATTTTATCTTACAATTCGTTTTGTCTGTCAGGAACCCGAGCCCGGAGTACCCGATGCACTCGCACTCGCACGGGCGCTCGCTGTCGCCGCGGCGGCGTCGCAACGCCGAGCGCGACCTGATGCACCACCACAAGAAGCACAAGCGCGAGCGCGCGCGCGGCGGCGGCGACAAGCGGCGCTCGTCGCGCAGCAGGAGTCCGCGGCGGCGGTCGAGCCGGTCGCCGGGCGGCTACGGCGGCGGCGGCAGCGGCCGCAGGCACTACAGCCCCAACGACGGCAGGCGGAACAGCAAGCGGTACAAGTCGAGGAGCCCGCGCAGGGAGAGAATGTCGAGTCCACGGTAAGTTTTGTTGCACCTGTTTTTTACAATTTTCTACTTTTTTAATTTCTTCTTTTCAAAAATCGTCGTATTTAATACCGTAAACACGGGTGCCTTTAGCTCACTTTCAAATTTAATCTTAACATTTTTGTAGTTTTAACAATCATAAACATTAAATATTGTATACCAAAATTTGAGTCTTGAGTTGCTCTTTCATAATAACTATGTTATAATCTTACATAGGGCTGAGTTTCAAAAATAAAAATTAAAAACTGGGTGTGCAAAGTTACCCCCTGGTTGCGAGTTACTTTGTCTCACAATGTATTTTCCGTATAAAATGAATGCAATATTATATTTTATTTTTATTAGACACGTGTTAGCAGCGACATATATCAATTGCAAGGGATTACCGATAAAAAAAAAATAAAAAATCGACCTGTAGTTAACCAAGGGATTGCGCATAATATAGAAATTGTAACGTGTGTATTTCTAAGAGTTTTGCACTGATGCGATATATACAATTTTAAAGTGTAATAAATCCCATTTCTTTCTTTAAAACACTGATTTTCCTGTTATATAAACTCAATAGAATCACTCAATTGACAGGTTTAGACCAACAAATTATAAATGTTAATTTTTTTGAGCGCAAAAAGATTTTTCATAAATGGGTTAAAGTCACCCGCGGGGTGCAAAGTCACCCGTGTTTACGGTACCTACAAAGAAGAAATAATAAAATACGCATAATACCACTAAGTAATATTAAATACTATACAACCCCAAGCAGCATTTTAAGTTTAAATAACTACAAAAAACTGTTTTATAACGGTATAGATATTTCGTTATTTTACCTACATATTAACCTTTTTTATCTACTAAGAGAATAACGTAATAAAAACAATATAAATACCACAAATGTACGTAAAAATAACGCTTTCTAATATACAGGGTGTCCCAGAACTCGCGCCACATAGAAAACCGGAACGTGCCGAAAGTAACGTGAAACACATATTTGAAAATTAAAATTGTCTAACGCCAAGGATAAGCGAGATAAGAATAAAAAACGATAGCCAATCCCAATAGATGGCCATAGGGAATTCTTTAAATTGCTAGGATACTTAGGTTGCATTGTTGATAATAAAAAATATGTAAAATATTTGGTCCACTGGAATCCAATTTATTGTGAAACTGCTGTCAAACTCCTGTCATTAATATTATATTAGGTTATAAATTAAGTTATTATAAATAATGTTTTCCTTAGATGATTATACTGAAATGATAATTATTTATTTATTTAGTGTGGGTGCAACGCCAGGGAGACAACGCGAGTTTTTTCCCAGCCCTTTCCTAATCGTTATTTTAAAACATTGGCGTTCTGAAGTATAAGTCATAGATTAATAACCTCATTTTTGAAAGCTTTTGACAACTTAGTAAATACAGTTGGCCAAAAGATTTTTAAATGTTTTTAATACAACAATGTTCTACCGTCTCCTAGCAATTTTTAAAGCTCTTACGTTTAGGCGAGAGCTCTGGTATTGGCTGCCGCTTTTTTGCTCTCATTCGATTACACTATTACCTAGAATTTTTTTATTTTTAAATTTGGCATCTCCATTGCTATCGGCACGCCCCCTTTTTCTCTGTGGCGCGAGTTCTGGGACACCCGGTATAATTAATATTGTTTATGTCAGGTTGAGAAAAATGGACAATCTTTTAGGTAATTTCCTTAATTTTAGATGTTAATTTTGCTCATTGTGAATGATCGTTTTGTGTTAATTTTAAGTATAATTGAAACCATTAATTTTTTCCACTAATTACGAGGTTCTGAATAAGATTTAGACAGCCTTGTATGTTGTTTACAGGATTATATAAATGTATATCATCTGCATAAAGCAATATATTTTTAAGTAATTTATTTTTTCAACAACATTGACAAAAATAACAAAAAGTGAAGGTCCCAAACTAGAACCCTGTGGTATACCAGAGGAAGCTAAATAAGTATTGGATTTATAATTGAATTGGTGCATGTTCAAAATTTTTATTTTGACAAATCATTTTCTAAAATCACTTTAAAAGTTTAATTATTTTACAAAATTTAACTATTATATTTTTTAAAATAGTTTAAATATTCTCACATTTTGAACTAATTTTGTGAAATAATTTGTCAACTTTTTAACTGTTCTTAATATCCACGATTATTGTGTAGAAGTATTTACATTTTGACGGTTTGTTAAATAAGATTGGAGTAAAACTGGTAATTCGTTGGGAATTTGTATTAATTGTGGTTAAGTTTTAAAAATCTTTATTTTTTTTTTCTTAATAATTTTTTATTTAAATATACGGAGGCGTAGAAGGACCAACAAACATTTTACAAGTTTTAGCCAAAACTAACTTTGATTTTTGCAATTTCTATTCTATACTTGTAACTTGAACTTACAATTGTAGGGTCAAGTTTCAATTCTAGGTTCAAGTTACAATTGAGGCCTGTCAGAGCAAAGTCAACAATCTCTCATCAAACTAAAACTGAGTAAATTAAGATAATTAATTTTGGTATTTTAAATTCTAGATTTGTAATTTTTTTATATATTATATTGAAATGTTGTTGTTAGTCTAGTCTAGCCAACTACAAGGTCTCCAGGATGCATAGTATAGGTGAAATCTATTATATATATAATTATAAATTGGAGATAGCTGACTTTGATATGAATTGCTGGAGATTGCTCATTTTGTTGTAAAATTTTAAGGAGATTTAGAAAAATAAACAAAAAAATAATTGTTTTTTTTATTTCTTTAATGGGTATAAAATTTAACTATACAATCAATGTGGGAAAATTCTGAACTGGACCACATAAATCTGTTTCTTCTTCTAAATCTGGGACCAGGTTGCCTCGTGCAAAAAAGTTTTTATAGTAAAACTCATCATCTTCTTCCCACTTTGCCCCGTAATGTTTTACTTGCAATGTTTTTACATTATCAGTCTTTTCTTGCTTTAACTTTACGTCTTATTATGGTATAATAGCACAAAATAAACAAGATAACTTTTTTTATAATTCTTAAAACAATAAAACTTATATATACCTATTTTAAATATATTTTTAAGTGCCATTTACTGCAATATAACTTAACAGTATGTACCAGTAAAAAACACAAAATTAAATCTCTAAAATACGTTATAACATCAAATGTTAGGATATCAGGTGACACAAATTACTAGTTTCTAATGGTGGAATTGGAGATTGTATACTTTGCTGCAAATCTATCGACTTTGCACTAAATGTGATTTAAAAAAAAGGATTTTATGCAGGATTTAGCTCCTTTTGCAGCACATAAACTTTATCATCTTATAGATAATTAGTTGAAGTACAGTCTCCGCCAAAAATCTAATTTTTGACCAAAAGTGGAGATTGCCGGTTTTGCTATGACAGGCCTCAATTGTTACTTGAATCTGCAATTGTAAGTTCAAGTTACTATTATATAGAAATTGCAAGAATCAAAGTTAGTTTTGGGTAAAATTTTTGTTGGCCCTTCTACGCCTTCGTATAAATAGTATATTTTTCTGAATTTTTGTGGCACATCAGTCACAAACACAGAAGCCCGTCGCCGCACTCTATGCGTTCCTCGCAGCTGAAAAACAAGATCACCGACACGAGCCTGTTCGCCGAACTGGTCAAGGACAAGCACAAGCGCGACTTGGAGCTGAAACGCCTGCTGGAAAACAACGCGGCCGAGTCGACGGCGGCGGCGGCGGCGAGCGCGGCCGCCGCCGCCTCGGCCGAAGCCGAACCCAAACCGCCCGCTGCGCAAACCGACGCGGTGGACTCGGCGGTGGACTCTGCCGTGACCACGAACACCACCGTCGGCGGCAGCACCTCGTGCGTGCCGATGGACATCGACGAGATCCCGATCCCCGAGACGGACTCGGAGAAGCTCGACGACATCGCGCTGCCGAACATGCCCGAAGCAGAGGCCGAGAAGGCGGCCACGCCGCCGGTGCCTGAGACGCCCCTGCCGGCCGCTGCCGAAGTTAAAAACGGCGGCGGCGCGGATTCGAGCAAGAAGGGCATGAAGCGGCTGCCGATGCCGCCCGGGATGGACTCAACCGAGTTGGAGGCCATCGAGTCGCCGCCGAGTAGATCCCCCTCGCCCGTCAAACCCAAGACGCCGCCTAGGAAGAGCATCATGAACCTTCCGATGCCCCCACGTAAGTTTTTATACTTTTTTTATACTATCGACGTTCTGCGGTGTTTTTAAGCTTTTGCGCATGTTTGTTACTACTTCAAAATTAATTTTAGGTTTTTTTACGTTTTAATTGATTTTTTCGCAAAATATGTATTCTATGAAGCGTTGCCTAAGTTTGGAATTTTAAGATTTACAAGGCGGTTAATTTTTCTATGAAATCTTTAAAGAATTTTAATTTGAGGATTAAAAAAAATGTTCTTATCAAGCTTTTAAACTTTTGAGCTTTCCAGAAGTTTTTCGAATTTTGTAACCCTTACGGCAATTTACGAGGTGGTCGATTTTTCTATGAAATATCCAAAGATTTTTAATTTTAGGATTTAAAAAAATTTCCTTAATCAAGCTTTTGAGCTTTTAGATTTTTTTAAGCTTTGGTTTTTAATTTTTTAAGACACAAGGTGGTCAATTTTTCTATGAAATCTTTGAAGAATTTTAATTTTCGGATTCAAAAAATGTCCTTAATCAAGCTTTTAGGTTTTTTAAGCTTTTGAGCCTTCAATGTGGTTTTAAATTAGAATCTTAAAATTTTGTAAATTTTTACAATTTTGAAACTTTTAAGACAATTTACAAGGTGGTCGATTTTTCTATGAAAAATTTTTAATTTTAGGATTTAAAAAATATCCTTAATCAAGCTTTCGAGCTTTTAGTTTTTTTAAGCTTTTGAGCTTTCAATATGGTTTTAAATTAGAATCTTAAAATTTTGTAAATTTTTACAATTTGGGGAATTTTGAAACTTTTAAGACCATTTACAAGGTGGTCGATTTTTCTATGAAATCTTTGAAGGAATTTAATTTTAGGATTCCAAAAATGTCCTTAATCAAGCTTTTGAGCTTTTAGTTTTTCAGGCTTTTCTTGCAATTTTGTAATTTTTTTAATTTTGGGAATTATAGAGATTTTGAAAATTATAAGTGTTGTCCAAATTTGGAAAAGGGTTTTGGAATTTTAAAGATATACAAGGTGGTCAATTTTTCTATGAAATCTTTGAAGATTTTTAATTTTGGGATTAAAAAGCTCTTGAGATGGATGTTTTTAATCTCAAAAATGAGAAATTTTTTAAAACTTGTGAATTGTGGTGATTTTGAAAATTGTTGTAACTGTTTAGCATGTTTTGTAGGTTTATTTATTATATTTGTAAAGTTCATTTTAACACCTTTAAAGTTTTTTAAAATTTTAATTGATTTTTTTTACCAAATATGTATTTTATAATTTTTAAGATTTACAAGGTGGTCAATTTTTCTATTAAAGCTTTGAGCTTTTAGATTTTTTTAAGCAAGCTTCCAAGATGTTTTTAAATTAAAATTTTGTAACTATTTACAATTTCGGGTATTTTAGAATTTTTAAGACAATTTACAAGGTGGTCGATTTTTCTATGAAGTCTTTAAAGTCTTTAATTTCAAGATTTTAAAAAACATGTCCCTAATCAAGCTTTTTAGCTTTTAGTTTTTGAAGCTTTTCTTACAATTTTGTTAATTTTGGGATTTATGGAGATCTTGCGTTGCCCAAATTTAAAAAAGGGTTTTAGAATTTTTAAGATATACAAGGTGGTCAATTTTAATTTTAGGATTTAAAAAATGTCCTTAATCAACCTTTTGAGCTTTCAATATGTTTTTAAATTAAAATCTTAAAATTTTGTACATTTTTACAATTTTTGTGATTTTGAAACTTTTAACAAAGTGGTTGATTTTTCTTTGAAAAATTTAAAGAGTTAGGATTTAAAAAATGCTTAAAGTTTTTAGAACTTAGACAATTTACAAGGTGTTCGATTTTTCTATGAAATCTTTAAAAAGTTTTAAATTTAAGATTTAAAAAAATGTCCCTAATCAAGGTATTGAGCTTTAAGTTTTTGTAAGCTTTTGAGCTTTCAAGATGTTTTTATCTTAAATTTTGTAAATTTTTAGGAATTTTTTGGAAAACTTATATAATATTACTGCGAATTTTCCTTACAATTTTTTAAATTTAAAATGTTTTTTGACGGAAAATGTCCATAGTTTTTTCTCCACATTTGTATTGCATTTTATTTTAAAAATCGTTACCTAACTTTTCAAAAAGGTTTTTGTGTTTTTTAATACAATTTAGTAAATTGAATTTACCGAAAATGCGATCAATTTATTATTTATAGGATTTTTTTACATGTTTGTACAAGGTTTTTATTATTGTCCTACTTTTTAAGTTTAGTTCACTTAATTTTTTTTTTATTTGAGAAGGCAGTATACTGGAATTTTTTCCAACTTTAATAACAACTTAAATTAAATTACTTAAAAAACAAAGGTGTAAGTCAAATTTGTGTGGAGGGCCATTTCAAACATGCGGGCACGGGACAAATCACAAAACTGTTTTTAAATAAAAAAAAAATGGTAGGTAATTTGTTATATAATATTTTGGCATCAAAATTGTCAAAAATATTCTTCTTTTATTAGGCTATACATTAAATAAAAAAAAAGACAAAGGCAATTATGTCTACTTTTATAAAATATTTCATGCGTTTTTTTTATTTAATGAATAGCCTAATAAAAGAAGAATATTTTTGAAAATTGATGCCAAAATATTATATACCTAATAAATTATCTACAATTTTTTTTATAAAAACAGTTTTGTAATTCGTGCGTTTTGCGCCCCTGAAATGGCCGTGGAGTAAAAGTTGCACATTTTCATAAAAACCTGCCAAAACATTACTCTCTACACTGGGATAATTTTAAAATGTATTGGTGATAAGAACTGTACATTTCACTGCAACTTGAAACAAATTTGAACCATATTTATTTCTTCATAACTTGCCAAACGGATGCTAATGCTTGTGTTTTCTCGGCGTTTGTCGCACTTTGCAGTGTTCGAACTGAGCATGATCTCGAAACATAGCAAACAATCGAAACTAAGCGCAAAATCGTTTAAAGTGGTCGCCGGCACGGAAGAGCTGAGCGGCGACGACGACCCCGCGACGACGCCGCCCCGCAACAGCAAAACGACGGCGGCGGCGGCGGCGGCGCAGGCGGGCGCCGCGACGGCCGAGAAGAAGCAGGCGAAGCCCAAGTACAAGCGGCCGAAGATCCTGAAGAGGAGGGGCTCGAGGACCTTGCAGGCCATCAGCGGCAAGGACTGGGGAGAGAGGTGCGTGGAGATGTTCGAGGTCAAGGAGCAAATTGGGGAAGGTAAGAAAATAGGCCTTTTTTCTTCTTGTTTTTCCTCTTAAAGAAGTTATACATATAGCTTTTATTTGTTAGGATTACTTTTTTTGTTTAATATTTACTAGGTACCTATGGTTTTTTTTATCTTGGAAAAGTTGATTTGTTTCTTTTTATTTCTTTATAATTAAATCAGTGAGAATTAGAACAGTACAAGTTCAAAAATTTAATTTTGACAAGTCATTTTTTAAAATCAATTTTCAATCAAGTTCAAAATACATTTTTGTGAGAAGATATCAATCATTTTACAGAATATGAACATTATACACTCACAGGCAAAATAATCGATCCACACAAATTTTCGATGAATTTCAATCGCAAATAACTTTTTTATTTGATGTCGGATTTAAACGAATATTAAAGAACATTGTAGATAAATTAATGGACAATCGCTCACATTTTAAAAATTTTCTAAAAAATAGACGTACGTTTATAATGTACAGATTTAAACAAAAAGATGTTTCTTACCATAAGTTTAAGACACTCTGTAGAGTGGCAAAACCGTATATTGTTCTAAATTAAGTTTTATTTATCAAGTCACATCTATTCTTAACAGTTTTGTTTTTGGTTCACCTCGATATATTTATTTTTGTGAAAAATATGGATTTTTTAAAAAAACATTGCAATTTCCAATTTTTTTCTGTATGAAGAACTAAGGTTGCTATGGTCCATCCATAGGCTATGGAGAATGACAGTGACAGTTTTGTTGAATCATCCCATACTTTGACATGTGATACACGGCTTTCAAAAGCTATCAAATTGTTTTTTGCAAATTAATGTGTTAATTTTGAGGTGTCTTCTTACTTTTAAAAATGACTTCGACTGATATTGCCCTTTGTACTTTACTTCTTATGACGTTTAAAACACTTGCCACGTAATACTGTGACCGTCCATCCTGGATTAAATTAATAGCTCTGGCAACATCAGTCGGAGACATATCCATTTTATAAAGTAAGAAGACACCTCAAAATTTAAGCATTAATTTGCAAAAAACAATTTGATAGCTTTTAAAAGCCGTGTATGACATGTCCAAGTGTGGGATGATTCAACAAAACTGTCATTCTCCATAGCCTATGGATGGACCATAGCAACCTTAGTTCTTCATACAGAAAAATATTTGAAGTTGCAATGTTTTTTGAAAAAATCCATATTTTCCACAAAAATAAATATATCTAGGTGAACCAAAAACAAAACTGTTAAGAATAGATGTGACTTGATAAATAAAACTTAATTTAGAACAATATACGGTTTTGCCACTCTACAGAGTGTCTTAAACTTATGGTAAAAAAACATATTTTTGTTTAAACCTGTATATTATAAACGTACGTCTATTTTTTAGTAATTTTTTAAAATGTGAGCGATTGTCCATTAATTTATCTACAATATTCTTTAATATTCGTTTAAATCCGACATCAAATAAAAAAGTTATTTGCGATTGAAATTCATCGAAAATTTGTGTGGGCCGATTATTTTGCACGTGAGTGTATCACTTCGAGGAACCCGAATTCCGCCTAAGCAGTAAGCTTCCTGGTAGTGCAGGAGTGCAAAAAACATTGCTTTCCCTTCATTTATCTATGCAATGTAAATAACAATTGTATTATGCGACTTATTCTATAAAATTGACTTTTGGCCAGCTTTTTAAAGTAAATACCCCTATGTGCGGCGTGCCATACGATGCAATTTTGCGACCCTAGAATTGAACAATTCTTCGCTTTTCAAGGGACGTACGGGCAAGTGTACAAGGCGCGCGACGTGCAGGCCAGCGAGTGGGTCGCGCTGAAGAAAGTGCGCCTCGAGAACGAGAAGGAAGGCTTCCCGATCACGGCCATACGCGAGATCAAGATCCTGCGGCAGCTGAACCACAAGAACGTGATAAACCTGAGAGAAATCGTGACTGACAAGCAGGACGCCGTCGACTTTCGCAAGGAGAAAGGCTCCTTCTACCTGGTCTTCGAGTACATGGACCACGACCTGATGGGCCTGCTCGACTCGGAGATGGTCGACTTCAACGAACTCAACAACGCGTCCATCATGAAGCAGCTGCTCGACGGGCTGAACTACTGCCACAAGAAGAACTTCCTGCACAGGGACATCAAGTGCAGCAACATCCTCATGAACAACAAGTAAGTGATTTTAGTTATTTTACCTTTTTTCAACCGTTGTAACTATTTGAAAACCAATAATGCCAAAATGTGTTTTAAAAGATTTTCTTTTATATGAACCCAACTTCTTTTCACCTTTTTTTTACCTTTTTTGGAGGTTTTTGCTTTAATCTACCTTTTTTATACTTTTGTTACCTATTTTTTAACTTGTTTTCACCTTTTTTACCTTTTTTGGAGGTTTTTGCTTTAAACTACCTTTTTATACTTTTGTTACATATTTTTTAATTTGTCAGTTTATTTTCACCTATTTGTTATTTTTACGTATTTTATTTTTGTGTTCTTTTTAAATTTTGCGACAATATTTTATCCAGGGCGTGCAACTCAACGGTATAGATTTTTTCTTATGGTCACAGACTGTAACAGTAACTTTCTTTGCAGTTACCTTCTTTGTAGTGAGCTTATGTTCTGTCATAGAACTTCTGTGTAGTGAGTGTCACTCAGTGAAACACAGTTTATTGCATAGAAATAGTTTATTGTGGGTATGTTCTGTGTTTGGGTATGCGGCTAAACAAAATTATAAAAACCGCCCAAAACCAAAGGAAATCCTCTAAATAAACTCAGCAGTTATAGGGGACGAATAAGATATTTTCTATTGACGGAAAAAACTTCTTTTGTAGAGTTTGTTGTTAAAATATCTTTCTTTTATTAATATACATTTTAGCTATCTGTTTGTCTAGTAGTAAATTTGGTAAATATCAGGTATTCCCTGTTATATTTTCAGTTCCTTATAGCTTTAATTAAGTATTGGTCAGTTTATAAAAAAATATTTTATGTTACTTATTTTATAAAAATAAAGGAAACTTAACTTTTAATGTTTTTTTTTACCTAAAATGCTGTTTTTTTTAACCTAAAATGCTTTTTTTTAGTTACCTATTATCCAGTTTTTAGTAGGTACCTAAATATCCCATCTTTAGTAATGATACTTGAGGGGTTTTATGTTTATAACGTTTTCTTTTTTTTTAGGGGCGAAGTGAAGCTGGCGGATTTCGGTTTGGCGCGGCTGTACAACGCGGAAGATAGGCAACGGCCGTACACCAATAAAGTGATCACCCTGTGGTACAGGCCGCCGGAACTTTTGCTGGGAGAAGAGCGATACGGGCCGGCCATCGATATTTGGAGCTGCGGCTGCATTTTGGGAGAGCTGTTCCAAAAGAAACCGTTGTTCCAGGTGAGTGACATTAAATAAAAATAATTTAGGGCCTACAAGACGTATATAAGGATTTCTTTTTTTCTTGTGTTTTTTTTAATCCCTTTTTGTTTACCTAATTTTGTAAAAATGCATAGTACAAAAGTAATTTTATTATTAAAATCGCGTTAAAAATGAAAACTTTTAAGAACGATAAAACATTTTTGCGATGAAATTAAAATTAAAATACTACTTATATTATAAAATTAATATTTTAAAGATAAAATACTTTTTGTAATTAAAAACTCATGTATGAAATATAGGGTTTTAAAGTGTCGGTAAAAAAACGGAAAAATTGGCGAAAAAACTGTTTTTTTCCCAAGCGTTGGAAAAAGTGTCTTTTTGGGAAAAATGATTATTTTTTTTTAAATATACACATTTGAAAAAACTAGCAATGGACAACTTAACATTATTTTAATTTAAAAAATATACTATATCACAAAAAAAATAAAACTAAACATAAACGTTAAATATACTGTCGGTCGGGTCTTTTTTTGCAAAAAGGAGTCCATTAAAAATATCCAACTACAAAATAATTAATGATTTATAAAGTTAAATTACAAAATTTATAAATCAAAGTGTTAAATTAAGTTTGCGGTTTTTTCCGGTAGAATATTCTTACTGAATTAAAATAAAAGGAATAATTATTATAATCATAATATTATGATTATAATCAGCGTCGAAAATTCACTTTTTTCTCGATATCCGTAAAAATTTGTAAATTTTCAAAAAAATTGACGTTTGCATTTTTTAGTATTACCTTTTAAATAAAATTTAAAAAATAAAAAAGTCAATTTTTCTGAAAATTTCATAATTTTTCCGGAAATTTTAAAGCCCTAAGTAGAGCTATCAACTGCCCTAGTAGGGTTTTAATTTTTTGGGAAAAAAACAAAAACATTGGGGAAAAACTGTGTTTTTCTTTTTTTATCAGGCCTTGGAAAAATGGCTTTTTTGGGAAAAATGTTTTTTCGAAAATTCCCGGAAACTTTCCATCGAAAGTTTTTGCCAAATTTTATAAAAAAAAAATAAAAAATGTTTATATGCATGTATACATATGCAATGCATATTATGCATTGTATGATGAAACTTAAAAAATAATCTCTTAACTTTCAGAAATTCACTACTAGTAAATCACTTGATATTATATAAAAAAAATACAAAGGAACTACATATATAGGAATATTGAAAAGTAAAAGATACTAAAAATTCTGCAGTTCTGAACAATAAAATATGAAAAAAAATACAGGCAAAATAAAATCAACATTTTTTAATACTATTACCCATAAAAAATTGCAAAAGAAAAAAACACAAATTAGGAATTTGTTTAAACCAAACAAAAATAAAAGTATTATTCCCGTAATTTAAAGGTAAAAATTTCTGCAAATTAGCTGTTAAACAATTGACATTTACATAAAAAACAGGGAAAGTTTTCGGTAACTTTAAAAGAAACCATCAAAATGAAAATAAATTCCAGACTGGAAACTTTCCTTGAAATGGAAACTTTCCGATTCCGATTGATGTAGGTAGATCAAATTCAGTCGAAGCTTTTTAACTATTTGTATTGACAAAACTTTATGTAGGTACACTTTAAGCTGGATAAGAAAAACTACCACATTTTTAAATACCATATTATACAGTCTTTTAAATAATGCAAAATACTTATTTATTTTGGTCAAAATAAATTTTTCTATCCTTAAAATTACAAAATTAGATGATATTTTTGTTATAATATATTAACCTACCTTTAATACAGATATTCTTATTCCATAATAGAGAAGCTAGATTTTTTTAATAAATGCTGTTTAGTTAAAATTATTTTATGGAGAAAACCAGATATTTGGACCAAATGCAACAAAATATTAATTATTTGGCACCCTACATTTTAGAATTTCATTAAATGCAGTATTTATATTTTTAAATTCCTAAACCATCCATTGTTATTGTAATGTTATAAAGATTTATACATTTTTAACGCCTAAACATAATATTATTTCTTTCGTTGACTATACTTTGACAGATACATAACCTGAAAAGCCTTAAATGCCAAATTTTCAAAAGACGTAGGTACGTGGTCACGTGGTGGGACTTTGAGGTGTGGAGCATAGTACATATGATTATTTAAAAAAAAAGTGTATTTCAAAAACGCATTTTTACGATAAGACTTACAAATTCGCAATATTAAATAAATTTTGCGAGTGAGTTTAATAAATTCGCATCGTTTACCAGGCAAACACGGAAATGATGCAGCTGGACCGCATATCGCGGCTGTGCGGCACGCCGACGCCGGCCGTGTGGCCGTCGGTGATCCGGCTGCCGCTTTTCCACACCCTCAAGCCCAACAAGCTGCACCGGCGGCGGTTGCGCGAAGACTTCAAGCTGCTGCCCAGGTCCGCGCTGGATCTGCTCGACAAAATGTTGGAGTTGGATCCGGAGAAGAGGATCACGGCGGAGGAGGCGCTCAAGTCGCCCTGGCTGAAGAACATCAACCCCGAACAGTAAGTAGCTTTTTTATTTATTTATATTGGTTTTTACAATATATTCTGAAAAGATTTTTTTTTAATTTACCTACCATTTTTATTTTTACGTTTTAGTATGTTAAGTAGTATTCCTTAAATATTGTTAGAATGCAGTTTTTTTTATTTTTTAACAGTTTACACAGGAGCGTATTTTTTTATTAATTTCCAAGCAAGTTTTTAGTGTAAAGAAAATTTTATTTATATCTGTTTTAACAATTTTTTTTAGAAGACTTTAAAAAGTTACTTTTTTTGAATTTTTATCATTTTTATTTTTACTTGTTTTAGAACGTAATGTAGGGCTAAATAATACTTAAATATTGTCCAAATACAGTTTTTTTCATTTTTTAACACTTTACACAGGGCCGTATCTGGCGGGGATTCGGGGGTTCTGATTTTTTATAAATATATTTATTTATAATAATTATATTTTTTATAAATTTCCTAAACAAGCAATTTTATAGTGTACAAAAATTAATTTATATATGTTTTCATAATATTTTTTGACAAGATTTTAAAAAGTTACATTTTTTGAATTTTTATCATTTTTATTTTTACTTGTTTTAGTATCTACGTAATGTAGGGTTAAATAATACTTAAATATTGTCAAAATACTGTTTTTTATTTTTAAACAGTTTACACTGGGCCGTATCTTTTTTATAAATTTCCAAGCCAGTTTTTAGTGTAAAGAAAATTTTATTTATATCTGTTTTTACAATTTTTTTAGAAGACTTTAAAAAGTTGCATTTTTTGAATTTTTATTATTTTTATTTTTACTTGTTTTAGTACGTAATGTAGGGCTAAATAATACTTAAATATTGTCCAAATACAGTTTTTTTCATTTTTTAACACTTTACACAGGGCCGTATCTGGCGGGGATTTGGGGGTTCTGATTTTATATAAATATATTTATAATTATATTTTTTATAAATTTCCTAAACAAGCAATTTTATAGTGTACAAAAATTAATTTATATCTGTTTTCATAATATTTTTTGACAAGTTTTTAAAAAGTTACATTTTTTGAATTTTTATCATTTTTATTTTTACTTGTTTTAGTATCTACGTAATGTAGGGTTAAATAATATTGTCAAAATACTGTTTTTTTTATTTTTAAACAGTTTACACTGGGCCGTATCTTTTTTATAAATTTCCAAGCCAGTTTTTAGTGTAAAGAAAATTTTATTTATATCTGTTTTTACAATTTTTTTAGAAGACTTTAAAAAGTTGCATTTTTTGAATTTTTATCATTTTTATTTTTATTTGTTTTAGTACGTAATGTGGGGCTAAATAATACTTAAATATTGTCCAAATACAGTTTTTTTCATTTTTTAACACTTTACAGGGCCGTATCTGGCGGGAATTTGGAGGTTCTGATTTTATATAAATATATTTATAATAATTAATTTTTTTATAAATTTCCTAAACAAGCAATTTTTAGTGTAAAAATCTGTTTTCATAATATTTTTTGACAAGATTTTGAAAAGTTACATTTTTTGAATTTTTATCATTTTTATTTTTTCTTGTTTTAGTATCTACGTAATGTAGGGTTAAATAATACTTAAATATTGTCAAAATACTGTTTTTTTAACAGTTTACACAGGGGCGTATCTGGCGGGAATTCGGGGGTTCTGATTTTATATAAATAGGTATATTATATTTTTTATAAACTTACAAGCAATTTTTAGTGTAAAGAAAGTTTTATTTACATCTATTTTTACAATATTTTTTGACACGATTATAAAAAGTGAAATTTTTTTAATTTTTATCATTTTTATTTTTACTTGTTTTAGTAAGTAATGTAGGGTTAAATAATACTTAATATTGTCAAAATACAGATTTTTTATTTTTAAACAGTTTACACAGGGCCGTATCTGGCGGGGATTTGGGGTCTGATTTTATATAGATATAATATATTTTTTATAAATTTCAAAGTTGTACGAATTTCGATTTTTTCGGTTTTTCCTAATGTATTTTTATTTAAATAACCTTTGTATTGGAAAGAACAAAAAAAAAATTTTAATCGGTTGAGCCATTTCCGAGTTTTTGCAGGACTAACGCACATTTACAATGCATATTTACATATATTCATTTAAAATAAAGAACATAAAAACATTGCAAATAAGAGTTTATCAGTCGTTTTCCTTACACCCTGTATAAACTGCGCGTCAAAATTAACGCATAACAAGTAAACAAAAACCAACTCTAAAACGCCTTTACCAATCTTTATAAAATTTTGGATACTTTATCTTATATCTCAGTTTACATGTTCAAGGGTTTTTGGAGAAAATATCCTTAAAGCCCTTTTATTTAATAATAAAAAACCAATATTGAAGTAAATAAAAAATATGCTCTTAAAAACCGTATTTTTGTTAGTATACCTGAAAATGCTGTACAAATCAAACGAACAGACTTGATAAATAGACATTTTTGAAGATAATTTCATCTTTAAAGAATAACATTGTTTTTTAGTGGTTTTTAAAGGGAAATATTAAAAAAAAATTGTTTTCTGACCGGTTACAAGATTTTCAGGTGGGACTTTGAAAAAAAAATGTCGCTTTAAAATGAAGCACCCTAATAAAAATACTTCAACTTATATCTCAGTTTACGTGTTCGAGGGTTTTTTGAAGAAATATTTCTAAAGCCCTTTTTATTTAATAATAAAAAAAACTTTTAGGGAATTTTTAATTAAGTAAATAAAAAATATCCTGTTAAAGACCGTACTTTTGTATATTAGTTTTTTATTATTAAAGGATATTTTCTCGAAAAACCCCTGAACACGTAGTATAAGTTAAAGTATTTTTATTCAAAATTTTATAAAGATTGGTAAAGGCGTTTTAGAGTTGGTTTTTGTTTTCTTGTTATGCGTTAATTTTGACGCGCAGTGTATACAGGGTGTAAGGAAAACGACGGATAAACTCTTATCTGCAATGTTTTATGTTCTATATTTTAAATGAATATAATATATTATGTAAGTATGCATTGTAAATGTGCGTTAGTCCTACAAAAACTCGGAAATGGCTCAACCGATTTAAATATTTTGTTTTTTGTTTTGTTCGCCCCAATACAGATTTTCAGGTGGGACGTTGGAAAAAAAATGTAGCTCTAAAATGAAGCACCCTAATTTTTATACATAATTTGGTAAAGGCGTTTTAGAGTTAATTTTTTTTTTAATTAAAAAAAAACAAAACGTGATTTGCAATAAATGGCATTAAATATCGTTTTTGTGTAGGATTTCGGCGCCGAATCTGCCTAGACAAGACTGCCACGAGTTGTGGAGCAAACGGCGCAAGCGGCAGATCAGGGAGCAACAGGAGGCCATGCAGAATCTGCCGCCCGGCAAGCCTCCCATTGGTCGCGAGGCGAAAACCGCTTCCGGCGCGAAACCGGAAGAGTCGTCCGACGTCGGCGGGTGAGTTTCCCCACACGAACTTAACCGAATTATTATTATTATTGTTAGTGTAGTGCGACCGCGGACGATTACAAACGCGCTAGTTATGCATCTTGAACTTTTTTTATGAATTTTTACCAGTTCATATTTATTTTCTTTTTGTGTATTTTATTTGTATTTACTTTCTACCTTCTAAGGTCGTTTTGTATAGATTGTACAAACAAAGGTGCTAATGTTAATCATTTTTATTAATTCTAGGGTTACGCCAATCCAAAAACGACAAAAACAACACTAGTCACAGAAATTTTAGTAAATTTTTTCGTTTCGACAATGTATTTGTTATTTCAGCAAATATTACTAGAGCACCTTCATTTTAATAGATTGAAAAAAGTCTTTTGGATTGTGCTGTATACGATTATAGTTGTTTTTATATAAATTCATCAAGATTTATTCCTAATATGCCAAAACCAAAAAATCAAGGTTTTCTAAACTAAGCTCTATCAAGAATAATTCCTTTACTAAGTGCCTTGAACCAACAAAACATTTATTAAAAATAATTGAAGAAATTCATAACCTATATAATAATTAAGATTTGTATATTTATGAAACTTAAGAAATTTAATTTAATTTATTGTAAATAGTTTCTATCATGTAAGTAGGTAATAAGCCAGTCCAATTAAAATGTTTGTATATATGTGTTATTTTATTTTGAATTAAAAATAAATGGGATAAATTTGTCCAAGCTTTTTATTTATTTTCCTTTGTTTCCTTATTTTTTAGCATGATTTGTGTGCCAGCATGTTGTTTTTATTATATTTTGCAGTTAGTTATTGTTTATGCAGTAGATTTGCAATATTTTTTTGAAAATATAATAAAAACACTGAATCACACTGAGAATAAAACAATAATATATTTTTTGTGTTTTAATTTAGAACACAATACGCTGAAGATGTATCGCTAGTAGCGCCACCACTCGGCTGTTATCATCGTAACAAAAGCACAACTTTTGATAATCAGCTGTCAAACGCGTGTTTTACAAACGAGTGTTTTTAAGAAAAAAGCCGGAAATGTTTAAAAAATATCGAAAAAAAAACCGTGGCACGATTTGTCGTGTTGTTGGGTGTATTTCGAGAGGAAATCCTGGGTTGAGTTTTTACCGGTTTTCCAATAAACAGTGTTAATCTGAATGAAGAAATAAATTGCATACAGTCTTTTTAAATATAAATTGTAACTATTAGATACAATAAATACACATTTTAGTAGTGATTAACGTGAAAAGTGTAAACATTTCAATTCAGTAAAAATCGTCAAACTAATAAGTCGTCTAAATTTAAACAGCATTTAGCATTATTAAAAGCGTTGATTAAGAATTCTTTAAAGTCTCCACTCAACGGTAAAATATCATTATATTATGTATTATATTTAATATTATGTTGCCATGAATTCGTGGGTATATTTTGTTCTTTAAAATGCAGTTGTCGGCGTTTTTTAGAGAACTCAAATATAGAAATGATTGATTTTAAGGTTATGTTTGTGCAACAATTATTTTTTACTAATGTCTTAAAAATGTCCAAACTTAAATATAAATTATATTAGGTAAAGTTATCATTAGTTAATTCTGCACCAACAAATGTACTTACCGAATTGGATCCTTTGGCAAAACATGAAAATGCAACGATTTAGTTCTTGAATTTTATTTACATTTAAAAACACAATAATTCACCATGATCCCTTAGATAAAATACACACAATAACGTAACTATATAAGCATTTAAGCGTTGAGTTTCTTAATCAATGATATAAAGAATAATCAAACGAAATCGAGTACTAAACCAGTTTTTTAGTTTTTTCCCTGCAACGAAAACACAAATAACGTGCGCGATTTAGCTGTGCAATTGAACAAAATTTGTCGAGTAAGACTTCTGCCTTCCTCTCTTTTGTGAAAAAACTACCTAGTTATTTAAAAATGATGTACAGTTCGTATGCTTTAAATGTATTGTTGACAATTTGTAAATTCACGCAATGCTTTTGAAGTCCACCAGGTGGCGTGCGTGTTAACCACAGATGAAACTGAGATACATAACCTCAAATATTTGAATGAATTCCTTATTCAAATGCAACTTTCAGATATGGAGCATACATATATTACCTACATCAGAAAACAAGCTTAAAAATTATAAATATTTTGAATGGTATTATTGTACATTATTAACTTTTTTTAATTGGTATTCCTGTTTCAAATAATTGTAAAATATACAGGGCGTCCCAAAGGGCAAGGATGAATTTATCCTCAAAGACAAATTTTCATTTACCATTTTTTCGAATTCGCAAAATTGCAGGAGATGTTTAACTTTTAAAGCCACCAATGACAGAGCAGAAATTTTCTGCTCCAAAAAGCCCGTGTTTGTTTGAATGCAGATAGGCAACCAAGATAACAAATTGGTACTTTAATTTTGACAGTAAATTATTTATTTTTCTAAAATAGTATACAATGTGTTATGTAACTAAGAAGAAGCACCTGAAACTTTTTTTTCTAAAATCTAAAGACTAAAAATTCAAATAAGATAAATATGAAATTTGCCCTTAGCTCCTCCAAAGTACTAAAAATGGAGGCATATGACGCAGCAGTCCTCTCCTACGCCCTGGCCACAGCTGCCCACAAAATAAAACCTGGGCTCCTGGGGATAGCCCCAAATATCCCCACGAGAAATTTGGAGGACTCCCTGACCCCTCCTGCACGAGAGGGGGGACAAAACGAGACCAAAAACTATTTGCACCAACTGTTATACAATGTAGAGCAGTTGGCTGTCAATAAAAGCTACGTGCAAGTAGCGCATCTACTGGAGATTTGCAGTACTAAGGAAACACAGGTAATATTACTTGATTTAGGGTTTTTCGTGTTTTTATGTTGGTGATTTTAGTGGGAACCACAGATTTTGACACCATTAGAAGCTTTGCAGTGCGAGGTTAAAAAGGTCTGCAAGTCGTATCCGAAATCCTTGAATTCTTTGAAAATTAGTTTTGAAGGTAATAAAAAAAATTTAAAATATTTTTTTTTTAATAAAAAGTACTTTTTAATAGGTGATGATAAAAGTACTTCTGGAATCTGCCTGGAAAACGAAATAATTTCGAAATCCCTAATCGAACTTCTAAATAAATTTGGCTTCACTATTGGGGCAAGCTTATTAAAAAAATCTTTGAAATAAAATTTATACAGATCTATTTTTTCCTTTTATAATAATATATCAATAAAATATGAGATATTTTAGAGTATAATACCATTGTAAATTGTATAAATAAAGAGAATTTACAAAAAAACATTGTCTTATTTTATTATATAACATATTAAACAACCCTCGTATAAAACATAACGATTAACCCTCGTACAAGAGAAATCTCATATGCGACGTTGCCAGTTTCAATACACGTTAAAACTACCTGTTTTTTTAATGAACTACAATACATTTTGACATTTTAACATCTATTTTTACAACCATAAGATCCATTGATGGGTAGTGTTTAATATAGCAGCAAAATTTAACATAATACGCACAAAACAAGTTCAGTTTTAACCTGACATGTCAACTGTGCAAAAGTCAACATAACATAACCTATTGTAATTAGCGAGTTCAATAACACGAATTAATTTAAATCTGTGATTTATGGTGAAAAATAATTCGATTGCTTTTAAATAAACTTCATAAAGATGCCGGACGAGTCGTATTTAACCTGGGTAAACATATTTGATAAAGACCTCACTCAAGCTTACACCACTGAAAGAAAAGAGCTGAAAACTGCGTCTATGATACTCTGCGCTCTACAGAAGGAGTTTGAAAGTGAGTTTTGAGTTTTTTATTTTATTATTTTTGTAATTTTTGGTTTTTAGAGATTAAAACTTCTGTGCATAGTACGTATGAAGATCTACGAACAGAGTTGGAGAATAAAGATAAGCAAGTCCAGAAAAAAGCAAGATTAGGGTATGTATAGTTATTTTGGGGTGTTTTTTAGTGTTTTATGTGATTGTTTTTAGTTCTAACACAAAAGAAAATACCCCACCTTTGGCAGAACCTGATAGAACACCTTCAATACAAAGTATAAGTACAGGTGAGTCTAAAAGTCATATTTTATGTATATTATGTTAAATATACCCATTGTAGAATCATCACCTGATTTTCTTGATGATACTGCCTTTACAACAGTGGGCGACACAAAAGCCAATTTTTCAAATGAAACTGAAGGTTTTTCATTTAATTCCACTCCAAGCCCGACCTTAAAAATGAAAAGGAAGGCTGAAAAAACTCAATTCTCACCTTCGCTTTGTTTTTTGCCAAGTGGCCCCAAATGTGATACTAAATCTCCAAAAAATGATTTCAATGAGAGTACTTTCATCGATTCCACTCCTGAAGTGGGGATGAAAAAAAAAAGTGTTAAGTCAAATTTGTTTTTGTCAAAAAAAAAGTTGTTGAGTAGCATGCAAAAGTCAAGCACGCAGGGTAATTCGACATTGACTCGATTTTTTAAGAAAAAAAGCAAAAATGATACGTAAGTTTTTTAATATATTCAGTTTAATGCGGTTGTAAAAATATTAATTTTAGCTGTGATGATACAACTACAATGGAAATAACTGATATAATTAATTTAATTAATGAAGATTCCAATGATTCAGAAAAACCCGAGTCCCAGATGTAAGTAGTATTGGCAACATTGTCAAATATAACCTAAAATGTTGCATTCTGACATTTCAACTGTCAAATTTTAAGGTTAAATGTCAAAATTCTAAATACTTGTATTGTAATAATAAAAACATGTCAATTATAGAGTATAACTTTGAAATTTAATACGCAATTACAAAATTATTAAATAGCTAAAATAAAAGCTAAAGTGATGAAATGATGGGATCTCATTTTTGAATTTGAAAAATGTGTCCACACAACAAAAGATTGCGCCAAATCTATTAAAACAAAAGATAATTAATGTAAAATATCAAAAAAAAATGTCAAGATGAAAGTATATAAGTAAAAAAATTGTCTCCGTTTTACAGCTGTAAGATTGGAAAAGAGTGAGGTTAAACTTGTATGACAGATATCAGATTGGTAAAAAGTGAGGTTAAAACCGCTTGACAGTTGTCAGATGTCAAATAAAATTTGCTTTAAATTAATTATTTATTAAAAACTAGCTCTGCGCGCATAATCAAACTCGTGTATTAAATGACGTTTATCTACTTGCATAATGTTTTTTTCGTTTTTAAAGACATTACCTATACATTTCCTGTCTAACTACGGAAATAATGAACTCATTATTAACGTTGTTGGGCGTCAGTGATTGGCCAATTTCAAACCAATCATTGGTAAAAAGTGAGGTTAACCATCTTACAGATCGGCCATTTCAAGAGTACGGACGAGACAAATAAAAAAACTGTTTTTATAAAAAAAATTGTAGGTAATTTATTATATAATATTTTTGCATCAAAATTGTCAAATATATTCTTTTATTAGGCTATACATTAAATTTAAAAAAACGCAAAACATACTTTTTAAAAGTAGAGATAATTTTAATAATTGACAGGTGTAGAGGGGATAAGATAAATCTTTTTTTGTCCTATCCACACCTTTCAATTATTATTTAAAATTATCTCTACTTTTATAAAATATTTTTTGCGTTTTTTTATTTAATCTATAGCCTAATAAAAGAAGAATATTTTTTACAATTTTGGTGCCAAAATATTATATAATAAATTATCTACAATTTTTTTTTATAAAAACAGGTTTTATTTAAAGTTCTTTTTTTTATCTTCGTAGTTAAAAATGAAATTAATTTGGCTTTGGTGGTGCTTGGATGAGTAAAATCATATAAAAAAAGTAGTTAAATATAGAGTTTCTTCCATTGTGGCATTTGGCATAATTTTATCAAAATGAAGTTTTGCCCTCAAAAGGGCTTTTACATTCGAATTAGTTGCTATTATTTTTGGCATAATTATCTTTTTATTTATAATTGACAAGTAAATTATCAATAAAGCAGAAGTACCATTTTTAAATACTAAAAATACTAAGTCAAACTGGCATAAGCCAACCTAACAAAAAAACACGAGTCCAGATAAAAAAAACTAACTTTATTTATTTTTGAAAATCAATTATTTATCAACATATACAATGCGGAAACCGTAGTACTGTTTATAGATTCCCGTACGGGAAATCTATAAATCAGGCTTAAACCTTGTTCAGAACATTTTTGTTTTTAAGGTCTTTACCGGCAAGTGAAACAGATATGTTTTCTAAAATGACTGGTGTAAAAAAAAAAGTTGATATGGATGCTACAAGTATAGTTGATATGGATTTAACAAATATTGATTATTCAGCAAAAAAAAATAATCTGAATTTTTATATGGATGATACAAGTTTAGATGATATGGATTTATCAAATAGAAGTGATGCAGCAAAAGAAAATAATCTGAATTTCGAGGCAAATAACTTGAATTCTTCGGAATTTTTGAGTAATCATGGGGAATATGAGTAAGTTTTTGCTATTTCTTCATAAAAAATTTGATATTTTGATAAATTTTTTAGGAGTCCTAATAAGAAAGCAAAAAAGGATTTTATTCCTGTTCATGCTAGGAAGGAATATGTTCATTGGGAATGTGAAGAATGCAAAAGGGTAAATTTTTATAAAAAAAAATCAAAATTTTAATAATTATTTTTTAGTTTTATGGCGTTCTAAGTTTGTCACCAGAAATGTTAAAAAAGAAAATGGGGGTGTGTACCAGGCATAAGATAGCCAACAAACAGCCAGATACGATTCCTGGATTTTGGGATATGTCAATAAGAACTCAGAAGTGAAAATTTAAATAAATTTATTGATTTATAAAAAGTGATATTTTTTCCAATATATAATTTCTTTTCATAAGTTGCCCCTTTTTTCTTGCTCAATTTCTATGGCTTCGAATAGAGCTTTGAAATTTCCAGCCCCAAAACCCTAAGAAAAAAGTAGGTAAGTATTTATTAACACTCTGTATAAAACTTACGTTGTGGTTTCTTCTCTGGATAACCTCCAGGAATAAAGTGGGTCTGTCTTGCATGTTTTTGGTGAAAATCTGCAAAAGATACCCGTTTTCATCATAATCAATTAGGATTTTTAATTCCTGTAAAGTTTTTAATTCCTCAGCTATTTTAACGTTGCTGTGTTTGAGATTTTCGCGCAATAGGTCGTAGTAACTGTCAGGGACCTGAAGAAATTCCACACCCCTTGCCTTTAGATTTCTCACCTAAAAATACAAAACAATAATAATGATTTTATTGACCAATTTTGTTTGCTTACAGCCGTTATAATATCATTAGTGTTAAGCGCTATATGCTGGACTCCAGCTCCTCCATAATATTCCACATATTCCTCGATTTGACTCTTCTTTTTTCCTGGAGCTGGCTCATTGATAGGTACCTAAAATATATTATAGTGTATGTAAAATTTGAGTTTTTTATATCGCTACAAACTTACCTTTATATTTTCTTCCCAGTTACTCATTACAATGGACCTCAAAGCTGAATATTCAGTATGAAGTTGTTTATCGTCTACCGACCAAAATCTGTGGAACTGCAAAACGTTTTCGTACCATTTTGCTACAGATTCCATCTCGTTGTCGGGCTGATTTCCCACCACGTGATCTATAAAGTCCAGTTTTGATTGGGGCCTGAAAATATTTCATAGTAAAAAGTGTTGAACGCTATACGCTAAAGAAGTATCGCTAGTAGCGCCACCACGCGGCTGTTATATCGTAACAAAAGTACAACTTTTGATAATCAGCTGTCAAACGCGTGTGTTACAAACGAGTGTTTTTGAGAATAAAGCCAGAAAATGTTAAAAAATATCGGAAAAAAACCGTGTCACGATTTGTTTTGTTGTTGGGTGTATTTCGAGAGGAAATCCTGGGTTGAGTTTTTATCGGTTTTTCAATAAACAGTGTTAATCCGAATGAAGAAATAAATTTCATACAGTCCCTGTAAATATAAATTGTATCTATTAGATACAATAAATTCACATTTTGGTAATGATTAACGTGAAAAGTGTAAACATTTCAATTCAGTAAAAATCGTCAAACAAATAAGTCGTCTAAATTTAAACAGCATTTAGCATTATTAAAAGCGTTGATTAAGAATTCTTTAAAGTCTCCACTCAACGGTAAAATCCCATTATATTATGTATCATGTTGCCATGAATTCGTAGGTATATTTTGTTGTTTAAAATGCAGTTGTCGGCGTTTTTTAGAGAACTCAAATATAAAAATGGTTGATTTTAAGGTTATGTTTGTGCAAACATTATTTTTACTAATTTCTTAAAAAATGTCCAAACTTAAATATAAATTATATTAGGTAAAGTTATCATTAGTTAATTCTGCACCAACAAATGTACTTTCAGAATTGGATCCTTTGGCAAAACATAAAAATGCAACGATTTAGTTCTTGAATTTTATTTACAATAAAAAACACAATAATTCACCATGACCCCTTAGATAAAATACACACTAACGTAACTATATAAGCATTTAAGCGTCGAGTTTCTTAATCAATAATATAAGGAATAATCAATCGAAATGAAGTACTAAACCAGTTTATAGTTTTTTCCTTGCAACGTAAAACACAAATAACGTTTGCGATTTAGCTGTGCAATTAAACACACATATCAGAGTGCGTCTTCTGCATTCCTCTTCAAAACCCGATACTTCTTTAGCGTATAGTTAATAAAAATAGTCATTTTTAATACTTACAACATTTTTGATAGGACATCTGGTGCACATGGTAAAAAGCCCGGTAAAAATGCTCCTCTGTATAGACTTCGGTCTATGAATGTATGGGTTGTATCTCCATACTAAAATAGGAAAATAAAAATATTATAAAGTTATATTCATAAAACTACATCGTTCAAAAAAGGCAATGAATGTAAGGTAGATCAGGATATACAGAATTCTGACCGTGGATCTTTTAAGATTTTTGTATATTATTCAAAGTGCTGTTTTTCTATATATAGAAAGGCCTAGAAAGATCAATCCCTAAATAAACAACGATTTGAATAATATTAGTAAAATAATGTTAAAAAATCATCCTCCATAGCTCTCTTAGCATTTGGTCAAATCGATATAAAATTAGTTTATTTTCCCTTTTTATTGAATATGATTTATTACACTGGCGCATTCGCCATTTTTGCAAATCTTTCAAAAAGAACATTATTTAAAGATTTGTTTGTGACCCTTTTTTGTGACTCACCCCTGTAAAATCTTTATTTATTGTGCGATTTTAACCGGATTTGTTTTTGTTTTAAATGCAAGGCCTACTATGTCACTTTTTAAGAGTAAATTTTTGGAATTTCATAATAGCGATTTAAAAAAAAATTGTTCAAAAATACAGTTTATCACGATCTACACTTTAAAACAAATTCGGTTAAAATCGCACAATAAATAAAGATTTTACAGGGGTGAGCCGCAAAAAAATGGGTCACACTGGATGTATATAATTTGTTTTTTTACCGTTTTTAAGGTGGCAAACCTGACTGTCCCATTAAAATCAGATTCCTGCCAGATATCTCTTACTATTTTGGCTCCTCGTTGTTTAGCAACCTACAAAAAATAACGATGGTCAGAGTTAAAACTTTCACTCACTTTTTGTTTTTTTGAGTTTAAAACAACATTTAAAAAATATACAGGGTGTCTTAGATTTTATTCGGGAAAATAGAACTCGCAAAAATAAAAAGAATTTAAATGAATTTGTATGCTTTAAAGCTTGTTTTTGATACAAATTGATTCTATCCTCCGTGAATCTGTTTTTGCTTTAAATTTTATGCAACGGATGGTGCTTTAATCATTTTAAATAAGCAAAAACCTCTGTTTACGACATTATCTATAGATGCATGTGATTCCTGAAGGTCAGTTAGAATTTTTATGCAGATGAGAGTGTTGCTGTTTTAAAATTCAAAAGTTTAAGTTCATTAATTTGCCATTTAAAAACCTATCCACCGTGAAGTGTAATATCTCAGTAAGTAGATTTTTTTATAAATATTTTATGTATGTACAATTGTATTTTAAAAAAATATTAAGGTGTTAAAAGATACAATAAAAATAATCATTTTCACTTGGGGGACATCTCAATATATTCACCCATTTATAAAAAAGCAGTAGTGTACCTACATTTTATTTTTAAATTTAGTATAAATGTATAGTTGCCAAATTAAATTTAAATCTAATTTTCCGGATTAAAATCCGGGACATTTCATTAAACATATCTTCCATTAATTCAATTTTTTTAACATAATAAAATTTTTCTTACATCAATAATATTTTCCAAGTTTTCAACTGCAAATGCAATGTCTTTTACCCCATCTCCATGTTTGATAAGGTGGTGACCAATATCATCTTCATTTGGCTTATAGGCTGACACAAATACAAACACAATCTAAAAAAATTTAATTTTTTTTTACATCAATGAAAAAAATTCATTAAAAAAATTACCTTATTTTGTCGCACAACATGAGATGCATATTTTCTACTACCTGTCTCTAATCCCTTGTAAGCTACAGGTTCGAATCCCAACCTAGTTATGTAATAACTGGCCGCCTACAAATAATAATACAACAATTTGTGTTACACTTATAGATTTTATTGATATGCCATTTATTAGTATATTAATTAAATTATAAAACATAATTTACTTACCTGTTTGGCGTTGCCCACGTAAAAGGTAAGATGGTCAAAATACAGAAATTTTCCGTTTGTAGGCTAAAATAAATAAATAAAAAATATTTACCCATAAATAAAATTTAAAAATTAAGCGAATACTGAGGATTCATAATTTTTAATTTACTTGCTAAAATTTTCCACTTCCATTTTAAAAATGTTAAAAACTAATATAATAAATTTAAAAAATATTAAAAAATATTTTTTGGCTTATGCAATATTTTGTAAATATTACATCAGAAAAAATTGTATCTGCTATACAAAAACGATGATAAATAATAAAGAATACAATATTAATATATTAAAATAACATACCTTAGGTCCCTTATTTGTATAAGTTGTCTAAAACAAAACACAAAACGTTTAAAAAACAAAAAATAAAAAATAATAAAATCATTACCATGCTCACACAAGAACTTTTGTTAACACAGCTTCCCTTATTTTTTTAATGTTTTCTAATAATGATTTGATGGGAATTCGAGTCTGCGAAAGCCTTTATATAAGCTATGAAAAACAAGTATTTTAAATTATTTACATATTATTATTATTATTTATTTCATTTTAATGGGATGGAAATTAGAAACGAAACTTCCAAGGCAATCAAGCATTTCTTCTGATAAACAACATTTTTGCAATGATTATGCATATCTCGCGAAAAAATATTTCTTAAATTTTTTTGACGTTAGGTTTTTTATTTAAAGTTTTTATAAACCATGCCTTTTTAACTGCACACCTTGTATACTAAACTTATTTTATTATTTTATATCATTAATCATATTTATATCATTTACCTAAATTTTTGTATTTAAATTATACTTTCAAATAGAATTTTACAATTTCTCTAAAACATTTTATTTAAATTCAAAATTAAATAATTCATAAATTTAGAATAACAAAATTATATTTCTGTATACTAATCAAGAGTGTGTCGAAGGTGTGTAGCTCGTTAACCAATCAAATGGTTTATTTTATGTGACGTGTTAATATGAGCTGATATTTCTTGTTTGGTAAATAATTCAACTATTCCGTATTTATTATTAATTTATGTTAATGCCGATAAAGATTTTCTAAACAGGTATATATGTTTATTTGAAACGAACTTTGATTTGCGTTTTAGTCAATGCATTTTCTACGTTTTTATTAAATTAAGTTTTTATTATACTTTGTTAAAAATATTGTGTTTCTATGTTGGATATTAACTGGACAATTACTTAAGGTAGTCTGGATTTGGAAATATTCAAAAATTATGAAATTATATTATAAAATATGTCAATAAACTTTTTTTTATAGTGGTTGTTATAAATATATATTGAATTGGTCAATTAAGTGGTTTTTGTTATAAAACTTAATTTACATTTATTTTTTATAAAAAAACAATCATGGCGAAATGAATGTATCAACCCTGAGCTCTTTTATATTGCTTGTGGTAATTTTATGTAACCTAAGGTGTTAATTAAGTTTATAGTAGTATTTATTTTACCTAAAGTGTTATTACATAATTTTAAAACTCTTATATATATTGTTGTAACGGTAGTTACTACAAGTGATGTTATAAAACTTTAAATAAGCAACAATCTAACCACTTAAAAGTAGTGCTGCTAGGTTCGCTATGCAATTATTTTTTGTCCAAACTCGATTAAATCCACTTTTAAAATATTCATGTTAATAAATACTAAATATTTACTTTTCAACTATTTTTTAAATAAACTTAAGGTTTTATAAAACTTCTTAAAAAACTTAGGTATGTAAACCTACTGGTAACGGTTAGCTACTATACACTGTTCAAAATCAAGCCTTTTGAAATACCTTATCAGAATTAGTTAAGGAAAAATAAGGTAATATGCTTAAACGAGTAAAGCAATTTACCTTCTCGTTTATTAGGCAGAAACCAATGCCTTAGTTCAATGGTGTATTCACTAACTTCTAGATAAATATTCATACTTTACTTAATAAACTTGTCAAATTTAAAAAGATAGGCAGATTACCTAAATATTTAGTCAAAATCTCAATTACTTTTAGGTACGACAATTTTGCTTTTAATTTAGGTAATTCTTCTAAATTATTATGGCAAATTATTGAACTAATTTAGGTAAATTCCTTTAAATATTAGTGACTTACTTGCAATCGGCTACGATTGCTAATACTGACGTTTTACGATAAATATTCGCGCCTATATTGTCCACCATAATGCCAAAATCAACGAAAGCTTAAAGACCGCGTTGTGTGCTATTGATATAATAACATAGTTAACAATTATTGTGGTATAAGTGAACATTTTGTAGTGCTATAGTTAAGTACTCCAAACTAAACGGAATTTCCCATTGACCCCAATATATTTTTAAATAATCCCAACCCTGCAGGGCCTAGGACACAAAGATAAAGGAGTCCTAACTTGGAAGAAAATTCCTATGCTAGGATTTTCACTAAAAATATATATAATTTGCCTGAAAACTTAGCTAAAATCTACCTAAAAATTTAAGCAAATTGCCTTAAAAACAGGAAATTTATTCTTTTATTCTCAGGCAATATCCCTTACGATCTAAGGTGTATTATCTTTAAAACCCAAGTAATTTTGCTTAATTAATTATATCATTTTCTTTAAAAATATCAGTTAAAGAATTCACTAATTTAAAAGGGCAATATTCCTCTGAATTCATTTCAGGCAGTTTTCCTTTAAAAATAAATGGTCCTATATAGTCTAATATTTTAGGTAAAAATTAGCTAAAATTTTGAACAGTGTAGATAATATAAAATGCTTGTGGAAACAATTATATAACCTAATTATATAACTGGATGGCGCTTTTATAAAACCGTGTTACTCTTTATATACTTTGACAACCTTTATATAACATATCGTTACCATAAGTAATACAAATTGTCCATTGGGATAACTACTGTTTTATAAATAATGGTAGGTATGAGGTATTTTTTATTAAAAATAGTACAATAATTCTTTAAATTAAAGGACTTAATGCTGGCAGGCAAAAAGTGACCATGGTGCGCAATTGATAATTATCACCGAATGAAATAATGTATAAAACTTAAACCAAAGGAAACTTAAATATTAGTTAAAAAATCGTGGGTACTTCAAAAAATCAGATTTAATTTAATAAGATAATTATTACCAAAAAAAGTGATATTTTTATAGAAAAATTATCGCAGAATCGTATAAGAAGAAAAATCGAACAAAATTGTTTTTTTTTCATTACAGCGCCATCTATTAAAAATATGAAAAAAGTTTTAGACAAAATCTACTTATTTTTAGTCGAATGATCCGAATCTGCAATAAAAAATAGGGCGGTCTATTGGAAATTTTAAAGTTACCCCTATAAGGAGGAGAGTATGAGGACCAATTTCAGTACTGATTGATTTCCCCCCTCGAATCATTTAATTTTTATTTTCAACATTTTTTCGTAAAATGCATACTAACTGAGATATTTCAAGTTTCAAGTTAAAATACATATAAAATACATTTTCTTACTACCTCGACTCAAAATACGTTGTTTCGTCCCCGATTTCACGGCAGAAAGTTTACGTTTCTTGCATTGGTCAAGCTATACGCGCACACTCTAATAGCGGGAGTAAAAATTTTTTAGACGCGTGCTTAACATTTAAATTTCGTACTGCCAACATGAGAAACACAAAAATATGACAGTTTTAAACCATAATTTTGCAATTATAACAACAAATAAACAATTTATGTTTTTACTTTTTTACTTTTTATGTTGTTTTAAGTGTTTAATGGTACTTTTATTTGTTATAAAGTAGTAATTTGTTAATTAAAATACAACCTTTTATTTTTACTGTATTGGCACCGCTGAATTACCATGACAACGCTACAGTTTGATTGATTTTGAATGTAAACGTCAGAATTAAATTAAACGTCAGATTTTAATTTTGACACAAATTTTTTTATATACATTTAATTTTTTCCCGTATTTTCTGCAGGGTAGTAAGAAAAATAGTATACACTACACGGGCAGAAAGTGTGAGAGTCCTGAACTGCGCGCCATGATGCCCTCGGCTTCGCCTCGGGCATCATGGCGCGCAGTGCAGGAATCTCACACTTTCTGCCCTTGTAGTGTAATATACTATTTCTTACTACCTCGACTCAAAATACGTTGTTTCGTCCCCGATTCCACGGCAGAAAGTTTACGTTTCTTGCATTGGTCAAGCTATACGCGCACACTCTAATAGCGGGAGTAAAAATTTTTTAGTCGTGTGCTTAACATTCAAATTTCGTACTGCCAACATGAGAAACACAAAAATATGACAGTTTTAAACCATAATTTTGCAATTATAACAACAAATAAACAATTTATGTTTTTACTTTTTTACTTTTTATGTTGTTTTAAGTGTTTAATGGTACTTTTATTTGTTATAAAGTAGTAATTTGTTAATTAAAATACAACCTTTTATTTTTACTGTATTGGCACCGCTGAATTACCATGACAACGCTACAGTTTGATTGATTTTGAATGTAAACGTCAGAATTAAATTAAACGTCAGATTTTAATTTTGACACAAGTTTTTTTATATACATTTAATTTTTTTCCGTATTTTCTGCCGGGTAGCAAGAAAAATAGTATACACTACACGGGCAGAAAGTGTGAGAGTCCTGAACTGCGCGCCATGATGCCCTCGGCTTCGCCTCGGGCATCATGGCGCGCAGTGCAGGAATCTCACACTTTCTGCCCTTGTAGTGTAATATACTATTTATCTTCAAAACACATGTTATTTGCTAAAAATACAATGTACAATTAAAATAATAATTATTAAAAGTAGAAAGTGAGGTCCGGTAAATCTGATAGAAGTCAATTTTTGTATCTATCCTTGGTAGTAAATATTAAGTTTTTAATCCCTAGGCTGTAAACGAGTAATGACACAACAACGTTTAAATTATAGACTGATTAAATATAAAAATTAATACATTTATTAATTTGTAATATCCCGGTGCATTCGCCATTTTTGTAACTGTCGAATTAACATTTTACCTAAATATCAAACTTACAGTTCAAATAATCTTTTAATCTGGATAGCCTCACAGTAAAACAATATTTGTTAATTTTAACAAACTGTATTGTGTTAACTAATTAAATAAGTAGTTGTAATTATAACAAACATTTTGTAGATTTAATAACAAAATCCTATGTCAATAATTCAACCATGATTCTTGTAATTTTCAAAAATAACCTCATTTTTACAAACCATTTTGTAGACCCAGTAACAAAAGTATTTGGTGAAAAAATAAAACAATTTTGATAAGAAATGTTGCTTTATTAATCAATTGCCTAATTTAAATAAATAACTAAAAATATTTTTATATGCTCCTACATTGATGAGTTGTGACTTTATGGCATTTTGTCACGGGCTGAAGTTAATATCAGTGGCTTTTGGGCATTTTAGTCACGGGCTGAAGTTAGCTTTATTATAAATTGCGAAAAAGTGAGGTTAAATTTGTTAAATGTCAAATTTTATGAAATAAAATTTTCTTTAAATTCTTATTTCTGTTCGTCGTAGATAATAGTATATTATGTATCAAGTTTGATAAACGCCATTTTATACACGAATTTAATTTAGGCACGAGCCAGCTTG